TAGTGTGAGCAACGAGCATCCCGCCGACGCCGTGCCATACCATACTATCACTGTGTACCATCCACCTTGGGATGATGCTATTTCCGGCACCATCTGGAAAAGTCCATGTGGATATCATGTACAAGCACACGCTGATTCTGACCACAGGCTGCATGCTTGCTTGCAGCCAACCAGCAGCAAAGAAAACTCACATTTCCCAACGACTTCTACATTCACAGGCTCATCCAAGCAGGACTTCCCCCCGCAGCTTCGGGGTGAAGAAATAACCACGAAGCAGGTAGGCGGCGAGCCCCTCAGTGTCATTTTTCTGACAGCGATTGGGTGGGACAGCGTTGGGGAGGGGGGTCCCTTCTGAGTGTGTTCTCGGGGGTGAAATCCAGCACCTGACCTAGCACATCTCGTCCACACTCCACGGACGGTTTTTCGTTTGTTTGTTTCGTGGATTACTACCTAGTACTGCACCCAAGGCTTTCGTCTCATGACCGCATGCACGCACGATTATTATTTTTTGCATCTGGAGAAGCACGAAGCACGAAGCACGAAGCACGAAGCAGGTGAAGGTTGAGCGGTTATTGCCGGAAATCCCGCGACACCATATCACTATCTGGATAGTTCTAACGCTCCAGAGTATGTACACAAGTCAGACCACAACATGGATTACCACTCGACGGGACAGTTGCATAGCCGCTTTCGTAAAAGGAATTTGCAACCAGAGATTCTAGACCGTGACCGTGTGTATCCTCGATCGTATGGATGGATGGATGTTCATATGTACGTGATTGGGGGCACGTGAGTATTCCCCGCGTTGAGGTTAAAGTCGCAGCCCATCAACCCCATGTGTCCATGTTCATGAGTCCTTCGCTCCTCTACTGCACCGAGATCGATTGAAGGATCCAGGCCACTGGCTCGCTTCTCGGTGTCTGCTTCATGATCGATTGAACGAGACAGGCAGGCAGGCAGTGAACACTCTTCGTCTACTTCATGATACGGCCGCAAAGACTCCAATCCAGCTGAAAAATGAAACGTGGGCCACTAGGTACTAGTAGTTACCCACGGGCGTGGATAACCTTGCAGAACTAGTATTTCCACTGGCAGTCAGCTTTACAGGCTTTCCTCTGCGAAAGCCATTCCATCCCCACCTCCATATTCGGTCTTCGGGTCGGGTGGATCGGCAGACCCAGTCGGCAAAGAGTTCTTCCATGGTCGACGGTTCAGCCCGCCGTGCAGCGCCCTTAGATGCCGCTACAACCTAGTATACCATCTCAAGCTCGTTCTCATACTAGGTATTCTTTCAGCGGATCTTGATCTCATCTGGGAGGATCACATCGTCGACCACGTGGTGACGGACTGCCAAGTTGTGTGCTTTTCCCATATACCGGTATGTACTTGACTTTGGCTTCCTTATTCTGGGATCATTTGGCCTACCTATATCTTGAATATCACACCAGTTACCGGTAAGAGATGCGTATGTAGGCCTTACAATTTCCGGTGAAGGTTGTGTGGTGCCAACTTTCAACGTGCTCCCAAACTCCTTGGTGTTGGTGTGGCTGCGGTGTCAAAGCCATGGTGGGGGTCGAGGACCGCTGCGGCGGCAGTTCACGACTGACCAGTCCAACAGAATTGGAGAAAACAACCTGGATGTATTATGTCGTCTGCGGTGGAGTTCTGGGGGGAAACCGGAGGACGAGATCCGGGTATGTATGTGGCCCCCTCGACTATCGATGGCGGACACTGCAGACGGACGCTGCAGACCGATGTTTCAAAGGATCCTCATCGACGGGATCATCCTTTCCCCCGCATGCGTGCGCTATCATCTGACGAACGGTTATGTACTTCCAGCTGCGGTACTGAGATGAACTACATGCCTAGATGAAGAGGATCCCAAGCGGTACTAATCCGCTCTGTTTCATCCATAGCAGACGCCCACTGCATCGTTTCCCTGACAATGCTTGGTCCAAATACCGGTATGCAACTATGCGGTTCCAATTCTGACGCTTTGAGCAACCTACCATGTACCTGACTAGGACCATCTATCACTAGGTAACTTACGCAACTCTGGCGATTCCGTCGTCCTCAACCTTTCGGGAGTTATACACAGCGGCCGAGAGCCGACAGCCGACGGGAGAGGGTCTGAGGCTGTCAGTATCCAGCGAGTGATGCACAATGTCTCCGGTTAGTGAATCCGTGACGACGTAGATAGGCCAGAAAACAAGGTTATCCACCGCAACCATCCTCAGCAGCGAAGATTATTCCATCCTTCTGGTCACCATCCAGTAAATTTCTCCGTGACTCGGATGGGTCACTAGCGGTTGCCCCCACCGGTGTACTGACCACGTACCGGGGCCACAGGAGAGTGCTTCCGTCTGGTCTCAGTTTCTGGCTGCCAATGAGTGTATGTATCGTACCTGCAGACGGCCAAGCCGCCTACACTCTACTGGTCTCAAGGACTCTCCAAATATCGGCAGATCCATATGTGACAACCAACCAACCAAAAGACGCCCTGTAGTGATTTTTTCTTTTCCTCACACCCGGATACCTGTTTCAAGTGTAACTACCCAAATCACCACCTGCAACTGTGCAGCTGTTACTGACTTACCGGATGGGACGGAATTAATCCTGCGTAAGTAGCTGACAGCCAGCCAGCCAGCCAATTGCAATTCCAGAAAAACCAAAACCATAACCGCCACCACCACCACCACCACCACCACCACCACCACCACCACCACCACCACCACCATTACGGTACTACCTCTTCCACCTCTGGAGCAATCTATAGGAGCACACCATCAAGCCCACACATCCATCTATCCGCATTCCACCGGCATAGGTACAACAGCTATTAGTTAGCCCGGGCGGGAACACTGAAGCACCCCCATTCCTCACCGAGTTGCAACTCGCGTTTGTGCGCTACCTCTCTTACCTCCCTACTAACTTGATATAACCACTCCATCCAGCCGGCCGGCCCGCTTCCGAGGTTTTTTCTGTCCATGGCCTACCAACAGATCGAGATTTACGCTCAACAAACTCTCCATCCCTCCATCTCTCCTGAGCTACACAGAACAAAAGCAAAGAAAAGAAAAAAGCAAAGGTGTGGGTACTCTGCCATGCGTGAGACGTGGCATCTGTCCATCTGTCCATCCATCTTGGTAGTCTACATTTCATACCTAGTGGCACTTCCCCCCCGTGATGGTACATATTATTTAACTATTCCCCGAATCCCCGTTGCCCGCAGAAGCAGAAGCAGAAGCAGAAGCAGAAGCAGAAGCAGAGTAAGCAGAGGCGTTTCTCCTCCCGAGCCTCGACTCCCGATTGGCTGCACGACGGAGCTTCCAAGCACCAACCACCAAGCCCAGCGCTTCTACATCTGTACATACGAGACGGCTCGGTGGGAGCTTAGGAAGTCAACCGCATGCACGGTCTACTATCTAGTACCTACCCGTTCTCGCATCCGTATTATATGTAGATGGCATAACATAAGCCAGTCTGATCACGTAATTCCCCGCTCCGCTCACGCCGGGCTTCCAGAACCTCCGGTTGGAGCTACTATTCTACAGGCAGGGCATTAAGCCGCCGGCGATGCTGTCTGGAAGTGACAAACCCGGAGGCTGGAGCTGGCCGAGTATGTAAGCGGAGCGGAGCGGGAGCACATGTCAACATTTAGTTACGACGGTATCATAATCTACCATCATCATCATCGCCGTCGTATCCGCCCTTCTCATCCCCCAATCCCCGATCCCCCCGGATTACCAAACGGAGTGCGCGAGCTCCATGACACAATCTGACACGGACGAAGCTTTGTAAAAAAACTTCCTGAACAAGACAATACATTCGCGATCTCCGGGGAAATGTCGCCGCTTTGGATATCTCACGTACGGTATTCACCCATTGCTTGGTGATGTTTCATATCCGAACCACCCCCTCCCGGGTCAGGAATCACCGCCCCCCCCCCAGCGGCGGCGGCGGCGAAGCCGCTGTCAGGTACCAGCTGTGCATCCGTATGCCTCGGCAACCTCGCGCCAGGCATGCGGATCGATGAGCCCGAGCACCGTTAGCAACTACCCTTTAAGCCATCTGCGAGACACCCTATCCGATCCCACAAGTCCGATGACCGAGTACCTACCTAGTTACCTTCGGTAAATATCGCCATACCGTACTCCAAAAAGCGCCACTCTTGCGGGGTTCCGCCGTTCCGGTTGGGCTACATATCGATTCACCTCTGCGCGGGGAGGTTGATGCCCAGCCGTCGCCACACCCCGCTTCTACCACAACTGCCCACGAGCCGCTAATTCAGGCGTCCAAGGCCCACCGTTTCGAGTGATATCCCATGGTTGCTGCCTAGCTCGCCCGCCCCATCCCCGTCTCCTTTTCAACGTCTATAAACTCATGTCTTGTCCCTTCTTCTTCCTCTTCTTCTTCCTATTCTTCTTCTTCTTCTTCTTCTTCTGCTTCGTGTTTTCTTCTTTCGAGTCGTCTTCGCGGGTCGCTAGCTCAAGATTCAAGATATTGCAACGGTTCCGGATAACAACGCGTTCCGAGGGTTGGACCGTGGTCGTATTTACCGAACCTGAAGGGGTAGAGGCACGGTGTTTGCTTGGAATCGATGGTCATAATCTTTTGTTCTCATTGATATTGAGACGGTAACTATGTGGAAGACTGGGGCTGGTCGCAAGTGAGCTCCGGTGGTATCCAAAAGCACCACCGGGAACCCTTCCTTTCCACCCGCTGTAAGTTGTGCCAAGCAGCTCGAGTAGTGTCTTGGACATACATAGCATCTATGTCAAACGCCCTTGAAGAACCACTTTGCAGAAGGCCCCTATTGCCGATGCTAGCTCTACTAGATGTCCGAGCAGGATAACGACCGGTGGTCATGATCTTGAGCCCTCACATCAAAGCCACGCGGTCGATTAAGGTTAACCTTAAGATTTGCAAGGCTGAAGACGAAAGATAGGCGAGACCAATACTTGGGTACTCTGCCGATTCGAACCCAAACGGAACACATCAGACGGCAGTTTCCAAGCACAGTCACGTGCTATTGATATCTCAACCAACCTCCAGTGCCGATATGTACGAACGTGTACCAGATCCTCAAAACCTACATGCCACTGCCCAGCCCCAGCCTCAGCCCCAGCCCAACTCAACTCCTCGGCGTAGGCGGAATTCTCCTCGCCCTCACAGCGGCATGAACGCGCTCAACAAGGGCCTCTCTACTCTCGTCTTCACTAGTCACGATATTCCTCTGGAAAAAAACAAGTCTTTAGATCTCGTGCGGCCTGAAAATCATCGGGAGGTAGTAGCCGCCTACAGCGTTGAGCCAGGTCCGCAGCTCCTGCGCCGTCCACTCGCTAGGATCTCCGTACGGGTCGTCGGTGCTCGCGCCGAGGAGCGGCGCATCGCGCCAGATGGCCCACGCGCTTACACCCACGATGATGCCGGCGAAGGCTGGAAGTGTGAGCTTGTATACAGTGGTGGTGGTGGTGGTGGATTGGAGTCATGAGCACGCACCGAAGAAGGCATTCTGTGGGACGTTCCGTCAGTTATGCGGAAGTGAAGTGGGAACGGAATTGTAACCTTGGATGTGACGAGACGGTCAAGAGCAGTCGGACTGCGCATTATGAATTGTGTTACTTGTTGCGTGGTGGTCGTGGATGTTGTGGGAATAAACATTGCATGGTGGAGGGGATGAGCTTCAGCTGCAATGAGCTCTCCCAGAAAGTGGGGAGTCAACCGTGGCTTGTGCAACGCATGACGTGGCTGGTGGCGCAGATGAGATGATGGCTGATAAGATCGGCATCTCGACGAATCGCTACGATAAGATAAGATCCCACAAGCCCCAAGCCCTAGTCGCACCACAGTCCCTTCGGTACGCACAACACCCACAATCCGCAGAATTGCCAACTGGGCCTAGCCGAATTTCCCCCGACGACGACGAAAGACGAAAGCGAGCCCCAACGACGACCGATACGCCAAACCTATCGCCCACCGACCAACCCGAACCCCTCCGACAACTATATCCCAAGATGCCTAAGCAGGTTCACGACATCAAGCAGTTCATTGAGCTGTGCCGACGAAAGGATGCTTCGTGTATGTTCTACCCGATTCGCGGAGGAGAGGATGCGGGAAAGGAGGGAGGGAGGAAATATTGTCGAAACATTGTCCAAGCGAGAAACGGGAGGGGGGTCGGAATTGATACATCAGAGTGCTGACCTACGTTCGTGAAATTTATAGCTGCCAGGATAAAGGTCCGTTCTACAAATCCACCTCTGCGACGACGACGATGAACCGCTGTTGGACGGTGAATTGCTGCGTGTTGCGTGCTGTCTCGCGGGAGCTTCAAGTGCTGATGGAACTTTTTTCGCGATTTACAGAAGTCCACCAAGGGTGCTTCGCAGATCAAGTTCAAGGTCCGCTGCAGCAGACACCTCTACACCCTTGTCCTCAAGGACACCGAGAAGGCCGAGAAGCTCAAGCAGTCGCTTCCTCCTGGTATGCTCCAGCGCACAATTCCTCCCAACGCTGTTCGGCTCTAACCCGGATGATTAGGACTCACCATCACCGACGTTCCTTCCGTTTCCAAGAAATAAATGTTCGGCGAACGGTAGACTGGGTGTGAGGGAGGCATGATGTTTCGGCGAGGGGCGTAAATGTGTACTATGGATGTAGACACATTGGGCAAATGAAAAAAAGGCTGCCTTCAGGTCCAGCTGGCGTTACCTAACTGTTTGTTTCTCTTTTCTGGCTTTGCGGGTCGGTCATGATAAAAGGCGCTACAATGGCTTTCTTTTTGGTCCAAACGATGTACCCAACCCCCACAGCTTGCACACGTGTGAACGAGTGATGGCATCGGCCTGCTGCCCAAGTACCTATGACGGCCAACATCTTCGTAGGACCAACATCTTCAGCCTGCCCACCGCTCACACTGCTGTTACCAAAATATGCTTGAATCTATTCAATCAAGATGATCGGTTTAAAACACTCGTGTCGTCCTCCAGGTATCTATGCTACAACAAAATCAAACTCCATTGCTGTCTAATTTACACCCCGCCTCATTCCAAACATCTCCACCTACTCCCGAATATACTTCAGAGTTCTGCATTCATCCAGCCCATACGTCTTCATCAAGCCATTCATGCAGGCCACATCCAGATTCTCCAAGACCAACTCGTACTCACCAAAGTAATTTGGCGTCTCATCCGACTTCTTAAACAGCAGTGACTCAAACAGAGCTATGCTACGGAGGTTGGTTTGATTGATCTTGACGCGCAGATGCGTGAGGACGCCCTCAACGCTCTCAACGCCCTTGCCAGCACAATATGTAGCGGCCAGTTCCTCACAATGTATAGCTACGTACCAAAGGAACAGTAGGACAGCGGCACGCCCGTACCCTTTCCGTTGGTTCTCCTTCTCCGCAATCATCAGCTCAATCTCGCCCACTAACATTTTTTCCCCAGCGTGCCCGCAGTCGGATGAGGATTCTTCGGTAGAATCGTGCTCTTCCGAGAGAAACAGGTTGATATCGCCCAGCATGTCTGCGTCGTCGCGGCCCGCGATGACCTGCCCGGAGTCCTCGGATAGCGAAGACGTCGGTGGCATCGGTGGTGCACATATTATGAAAGTCAGTTTGTCCGCGTCGGTGCGCCAGCTGCGTTGCATCGCGTATTCTTCGTCGAGGGATAGACGCTCCGAGGCTGTGGCCGCGCGGATTTCCTAGATCGACGCATTAGCGAGATCGATCCTTGAGGGAGGCGGGATGGAGCGAAACGGACTTCGTCGGCCATCCAGGCGTGATAGCTCGGGACATGATGCGCTTCATACGGAACAAGCAGAACCTTTTCGTTGAGGAGAGCTGAGAAAGACGGGAGATGTCAGAGGTAATGTCCCATCCGTATTTTTCACCTCATCTGCTCATTGGTTTCTCCCCCACTTCTTTCCCCTCTTCTCTATGCAGAAAAATGAAACGAAAGGAGAGACAGGGCAGGTAAAGGCGACCTGTGGATTCGTTCAACAGCATTGGAAAGCCGGTCTGGTTTGGTCTGGTTTGGCTTGATTACGAGTTCTGTATTTCAAGTGTGTGGATATCCGATGTGATCTGACGTTCCGGCGTAGGTGGAGGCGGAGATGGAGAATCTGAGGATCCGTATGGTGAGCGCATGGGTTTGAGTTGAGTTGGGCTGGGGTAGAAGGAGCTGGTGGGGCGTAGTATATTTTCTGGCGGGGTAACAACGGACGTCTGATAAGTTTCCGGTTGAGCCTCAGAGGTCTACGAGTAGAGTCTGTGTCGGCGGATCCTTTGATGTCGACCTGCATGTTGTTTCACCAACTGGGTACCTCCTTCTCTCCTCAGGCGAGGGAGATATAACCCAGTGGGGATTAGGTAACAATCTTACGGTGATGATGAATTCTGCATCTTGGCACGGCCGAACGAACCATTATTCGGTGACTAGAGTTCTCCCTTGCGAGATTTTCCTGTGTTTGATCATCACCATCGACATCTTCCGCAGGATATCGAAACATAGAAATGCATGCATCCATTCACATGTATATCTCTGGGCGATTACCAACTTCATCCGCAGTGTCCCCTGAGGCCTCGTCCTGGCCATGTATATCTCTGGGCGATTACCAACTTCATCCGCAGTGTCCCCTGAGGCCTCGTCCTGGCCATGTAAACAGCCACGTCCACATGATCGTTTCTCCATAGGGGTTTAACTGACGAGCCGAATCAACAGTTAGGACTCCCATTCGAACCCCCGTGTTTAAAGGTTGAAGGTTGAAGGAGATTATTGTCGAACCATGTGCGTGTCCAGAACCACAGACAATGGAATGGATCCCGTGCATTCTTGTACCGGCCAATTTCGACGGATCTTAGCTCTGGAATTCGGACGAGTGACGGCAGGATACTTTATTTCCGAGCTGCGATTCGCCGTGGTGTGCAAGTGTAGCCTTGCCCATGTTTCCCGGTCGTATTTCTGATTATCGTGAGCATCTGCCCGTAGGTTTGGACTCGTCCTTCCGCTCCAAAAGCAAAATAGGGCCCGGACGGCGGGAACCTACCTCCGGAGCGATAACACATCTGGCAGTCGAGCCCATATGCCCGATTGGAGATGCCCGATTTTAGTAGAACCGACAAGGTGAGAGGATTGTGAGTAGATTGACATTCCACCGGTGGTGAAATTGAAGTGAATTCCTTGAATGGTACTGGTATGAAAAGGAAGGAATGTATATGAGGCATCCTAAGGTGGCGAAGGGAGAAGACGCCAGTAGTTCGGATTCCTCTGTCCGCGGCCCCAACATCAGCTCGTTCCGGGAGCAAAGGAAAGATTCCCATATGTACATACCTGATGCCGAACAGAAATTGTGCATATATATATATAGCGGCTTTTCCCCCAGCTTGGTTGTTAAGCGAGGCAGGTACGTAACCGGGGTTCATTCTGCAGGGCGTGACGGTGTGCGCACTTCGCATGCAGATGATCATGATCAACACAACACATATCGCCAGGGAGCCGATTTCGGAGATGCACAGGAATATCATGAACCTGAAGGCTGGCGGCCGGGCTCTTGCTTCTGATTTATTGGGAAACTATGCACAAAAGTAAGCATTTCGGGTAAGAAAGGATGGTGACCACGAGATCGATAGAGTTTAAGAGTGAAAGCTTGAGCTCACGGCCGTGCTCATAGTCGACTTTGAATTCCGAACAGTTATGGGCCATTCTGAACATACCTATTGTTCGAGTGATCGCAAGTGTCATTCACCGCCCATTCTTTATAACTATGGATTTCTCGGAGGTTCCGCTCTGCACTAATAGCCTTCCTGGCAGCTCCTTATTCCGTGGTGACGCTGGTGTATGTGCATTGCCCAATGGAGCCGTGTTGGGCGAGTGGCCGCACCGACGGCCGTTAGCGTAATTGAGCACAACTCCAGAAACACCGCTCTCAGAGACCATCATCCCCTCTTACCGGCAGTCCATATCCTTATCATTCATATCAGCAACTCTTTTATTCCTAGACGCGGCGGCTTTTTTGTGCAGAAGATTCCAGCTTTCGAGCCCCTACTACCAAGCACGCTCTATAGCCTCGAATCTTTCCTCAGCAGAAGAACGTCCTGTTATCCTTATCATCAGATGGACGACACAACGGATATGTGGGCGTCGGCGTGGGAATCCCCATTTGTGCCCCAAGAGGCGATTTGGATGGACGACACAACGGCCATGTCGGCGTCGGCGTGGGAACCCCCATTTGTGTCCCAAGAGGCGATTGGAAATGATGCCGAACCGTCAGAATGCAGACTCTGTCTGGAGGAGGAATTGCTCGACTCTGTCTATTTTCCAACACTCAATCCGGGTTTCCAATCAGATGTCTACGACATTCGGCAGAGGACGTTTATCCTCTCCCTGCAACAATTGAAGAACCTCTGGAGCCAGGACAGCTTGCACTTCCGGCTTCATACGCCTATCGAATCCATTTCTATGATCCCACTAGTGGCCCTCAGGATAACGCCCCACTACCTCCAAGTTAGCGATGACAGTGCAAAGGTGCTGGTCGTGCGTACCCAAGCTTGCGGCCCCGAGAAGTTCCACTCCCCGCCCCACGTTTTCAAGTCGATCGAGTGTTCCATCACAGGATGGAAGCTAATGTACCACGAGCTCCGTCAGCTGCTGTGCATGCCGCCTCATCCGAACATCATCAGACCGCCAGCGGCACTCGTTTACTCGACTGACGGAGAGGTACCGATGTGGGATACTGCCGGACGGATATGTGATTCTGAGGAGCGAATTCCAATCGTCGGGTTCCTAACACCGGTTATATCAGGCCAGCCACTATCGGAAGTGTTTCCGGGGCGTCAGTCATGCATCTCCATCAACCTGCTGGCGAAATGGTGTCGACAATTGACGAACGCACTCCTTCACATCCTCCACCATGGGAACGGACCGAATCGTCCCGGGTTCTACTCCGATTTGAAGCCCAACAACGTCTTGATCACGAGCCCCTGGCTGGGCGAAGATGTGGTTCTAATGGATTTCGAATCCACCGGTAACTGGAAATCTTACTCTCCGGGGGAGGTCCTGAACCCGACAATCCCCTATGAAACGGGGTTTGTACCCTGTTGCTGCGAGTGCCTAAAACTCGGTATGGTCCCCGAACTCTACAGACATCTCCTGGACGAAGACGACGATATATACCAGCCCCGGACCAGAGTGACACACTTTTCCCCGATGGTTTCCACTCCCCCTGTCGCCGCACTTGCACATCTAAACAACTGTCCGGCTTACTGGCAGCTATCGTTTACGAATCCCGCGAACCGCAACAATACGTCCAAACACCGGTACAGCAATCCGCCGTATGGATACTGTCCCCCTTGGATCAACATGTCTCCGAAAGATTGGGAAAAAATGATGGTTTATTCCCTGGGCCTGATTGGTATCGGGCTCTGCAGAAGGAAGAAGTCCCTCCTCCGTAGCGAGATAGATCCTTGCTGCCCTCCAGGTGAAGTTCCGTGGGAGTTGTGGAGCACCCTCATTGAGATGGTCGATCATGATCCCGTGAAAAGACCGAGCTTGAAGATGGCTTCGCTAATCTTCGGGGCGTGGGAGAGAGAAGTGGCCGGCGCCAGCCTCTATGTTTATGCATAAGGAAAATGCTTTTATCGCTTTGTACATACGATGACATGGTGCAGAAGGTTTTTGAGGCGAACTTAGAGATCACCGGCTATAAGGGAACGCAAGAGATCGTTCGAGAATTTCATGTTGAGAAAAGATGAGAAGACGGTTGATGTTGGTGGTTCATATGAATCGATGGAGAAATGTCACGATTGGCCGCCCAGGAGGTGGGGGGGGGGGGGGGGGGGGGGGTGGAAGGGCTCTCTACTTTGAATTGTATTGCTTGATGTGTTATAGCGGGTATGAGTAGTAGGGAATGATGATCGAGCGGCTGGCTCGGGAATATAGCTGTTTTCAGGTCTTGTACTTTGGCCCCTTGAGTAATACAGTATACCGTGAACGATGAATCGCCCTACTATGGTGGGGGATGAAACTACCAGACCGCCACTATTGCCACCATCTCGTCTCTGTTCTCCTGCTTCCTCATCCTCTACGATTTATCGCCGTCTTCGACCTTGGCCCGCCATGAAGCACTACAGAACTAGGAGCCTCCCACAATTAGTTCTGAACTGCCATCACTGCAGCAGTGGCAAATGTGGGATTCCTCACATGGTTCGGAAAAAGTGGCCTTACGGGACTCTACTGTGAACTAGGTACCGAAGATATTGAGGTTACGTCCCTTGTGAGGCCGGGAGTCCGTGTTTCCACCGATGATGACAGTCATATAGACGTCTCTGACCCGGGTTCCATCCGCACGGGACGGGACGCTCCCCTCTTTTTGATTCTTCCGCTTCTTATCCTTCCCTTTGCCTTTGTGCTTCTTCTCGACCCTCTTCAATCCCTCATCCGTCCCGTAACGGTGAGGTGTACTCTCACTAGGGGATGATGATGAAGGCAGGTTGCATGAGATCCTTCTCTACTTCCGCATACTCGGATTGCTTGAGCGTAGAAGACTACGAAAACTGCGAGGGTGGAAGAGAAACGGAGGGTGCGGCGATTGATCACTCGTGGCTCTATCAGTAGAGGGAAAATGCTTTATTTTCAAATTCCGCAATCAAGTGAATCCGCAATCATCAATCATATCGAACCCAATTGAGTCCAGTCAAAGCAACAGTCAAATCAAAGCATACGAACAATTCTCCTCCATTTCACGCATCCCAACTCCACTTTAGACTCCGCAGGCCTAAAGCTCTACACACCCATTGTTAGCTTTCACTTCCCCGGCCTCTTCTCCCTCCCTCAGATTAGGTAGTCAACTTACTTCCGCAATTCTTCAAGTCATCGGTGCACTTGATGCTGGAAGCCTGGTCGTTCCACTTAGCCGGGAGGGTCATGAAGATTTGGCCTGGGTTGGCGATGAAGAGGCGGTCGTGGCAACCTCCGTGGCTGTAGAAGGCACAGCAACCGCCGTTCTGCTTGACGCTACTGATCTTGTTGTCCCAGGCACTGTCGAGGTTGAAGCACTGGTTGGCACCAGCGTAGAACTTGCAGTTGACTCCTCCCTGCTCGCGGCAGTAGAGGACCGAAGCGGCCTGGGCGACGAGGAGAAGAGGGAGGAGGAGGAGAAGACAAATGTTGCCGAGGATGGAGGACTGCATTGTGAATGAGGCTTGATGAGATTTGGATGGAGAACTGATGAGGTTTGGATGGGGGATTGAGAAAGGAGGATGAAATTCGATCGAGAAGTTTGATGGATGGTTGTTGGGAGATAATGTAGAAGTGGTCGCGGAGGGGGGAACTCTGGGGGGTTTATACAGATTTTGGAATTCCCCGATTGGCTTCGTGCATACGGTCTTCAACGTCGAGGTTTGCTCCAAGCCCAGCGGGCGGAAGAGCCCATGAGGTGCTCTTTGGTGTTGACCAGCTCCGAAGACGTGTCTCTAGGAGCTTCCTTTGTTCATTCTCACCCACCCTCACCCCCTGCCCACTAGATGGGACACACGGTTCAATGCTAGAATTGCATACCAGATCGTTGGAGCACTGACATGCATGGCCGGATCGATCATTCATGCAAAGATAAGGTGTTCCAAGTGCAATACGAAGCATCGGAAAATGTGGGGGAGAGGAGCCGCATCACACGTAGCAAACATTCGTCGAAGCATTAACAAGAGCTCCCTTCCACATCTAGGCAGTGTCTCGATGTCTACCCTCCACCCTCAATGGCTACCTTCCACCCCCGATGTCTACCCTCGACCGTCGATGTCTACTCTCGACGTCTACCCTTGACCGTCGATGTCTACTCTCGACGTCTACCTTCTACCCTCGATGTCTACCCTCGACCCTCGATGTCTCTCGATGTCTCTCGATGTCTACTCTCGACGTCTACCCTTGATGTCTACTCTCCACCCTCGATGTGTACTCTCGTTGTCTACCCTCAATGTCTGCTCTCAATGTCTACTCTGGACATCTGCTCTCGATGTCTACCCTTGATGTCTACCTCCCACCCTCGATGTCTACCCTCCACCATCGATGTCTACCTTCGATGTCTACCTCGATGTCTGCCCTCGATGTCTGCCCTCCACCCGCATTGCCAGCTGCGGCATTCTTCCGCGCCGCCTCCACGGCTACAGCCACCCGTCGACAGCCAGCTTCTCTAACCATCATGCATGAACAAACATACTACGTCATCAATCTGGCTTCTTCCGCCACCGTCATGCATTTTCGTTGTGGACGCACCGAGATCTCCATGGACGTCCCGCGCAAGCCTCTTTGCATCCTCCTGCATAAGCATCCTCGCTCTGACGCCCAAGTGTACGAACGATACCCTGCGACACCTCTCTAATAGAAATATGACCGGCAGCTTCCACCTGAGCTTCTCGTTCGTGGGCGAGATCTTTCCCCAGCGGTATTCGCACTTGAGGACTAACCAGTCACGGCACTGCTAGATCACCCTATAAATACCGATGTACTCGGGTTTCCATGGGCAGTTGGCATCGGGCGAAGTTCCGAACATGGCTCCCTTAGCCCTTGGGTATTGGTGACTTGCTCACATAGACAAGTAATATTTACATTTCGCTACGAAGGAGGAGCCAGCCTCCAGAAGCCATAATTCTGCCATGATTTCCATGCAAACATACCTACTTCGCACAGTACTGACTGCAGCGATAGCTAAGGGTCATATGCTCCTTCTCGCAAGCTCCTTCTCGCAAGCCACTACCCAATAGCGAGTCAGTCAGTACAGGTAGGAATATAACGTTTAAAAGCCAAACCCCGGCACCGGTAAGTACCACTTCTGCCGGGCCGCCGGCCGGAACCCAACGCGGCCCGGGAAGCACGAGTACGTACTTATGAAGCGATCTAGCCACACACTATAGCCGCGCTATGCGCCACGAGACCCGGTGCGTCGGTCGCAGCAACACGCCTGTCCCATCATATCACATCCCATCACTTCCCATCACATCCCATCACATCCCATCCTGTTTCTCGCAGCACGCCGGTCAGACGGTAGAGAGACGGGATAGGTAAATATATGCCCGGACAGTGCACCGTACTGTACCGGTAATCTTGGTATGCAGATACCGTACCTAGGTTGAATACGAGTACTGGTAACGATGAAACGAAACAAACTCCGCCTGGGCGCCCACCCGCCCGCCCGCCAGCCCGCAGTTACGTATGCACGTACGGGGGTTCACCGTATGTATATAGCCGCCTACATACCAGGCCACAGGCCGCTAGATGGTTACCGGTATCCGACGGTACGTACCTACCATGTACCTTCCATGTACCGAAACCGGGGCCGAGGCCACGTGGTGCCCATGCGTGCGGTGCGGGGCGACACCCTCCCTCCCTCCCAGCCGGACGAAGGCGAATTTGTAACGTACAACTGTCCCAGATTCGCAGCTGAGCGGCACAACACGGCTCTAGAACGACAAGGCTTGGATGGATGGATGGATGTGGGAGACACGACGGGAGAAGCAGGAGAAGCAGCAGAATCAGGAGAGCAAAGCAAAGCAAAGCCCTGCGGACCCGAGACCGAAGAGGGGGACAATGCGGAGACGAGCGCCGTGTTATGAGGATCACTGCCTACTTTGTATGAGGAGTCATACATCAGGAATCATGGGTAGCTGGGTAGGCGTGTCTACTCTACCATGATACATACTGCAGTCCCCGCACGGCGCAGTCGGTCCTTGTACTAAATTCTCCGGTGATCTCGCCTGTGCCGAGTGCGCGCGCATGAAGGGCCCGGGCTTCTCCGGGAATACATATTGCCAGCATTCTCGCGATACCTGCATACGCTGCCATGCTCCTCGAGAACGGATTGCCGGCCGGTTGCCCAGCTGGGGATCAGACACTCACTCACTCTACACGCACCGAAAAGCAACCCCCAACAACGACCTAACAGGACGCTTACATAGCCTACATACGGTACTAAGCCTACACGTTTCAGCCGCACTCACCTACAGCTGAAGCTCTCGCACTGCGCAGAACCTCGAGCTTAGCATACATGTAAGCATCGATCAGCATGAACCGACGACCTACATCCTACCTACTCTACCTACTTGGCCAACTACTGGACTGGACTGCGCCGACTCGCCGAGTCAACACCGCACGATGTGCCGTACATACCGGTATCTTTATCTCGCCAAGCAAGCAGGCAAGCAAGCATCGACGAGACGACATGCACATCGCCCACTGCACAGTGCACATTGCACGCTCCATCCCACTCCACCCCACACCCCACCCACACCATCCACACCACACCCACACCATCCACACCACACCTGCCTGCCTGCCGCAGCCATGGTTCTCGACCACTCAAGTTAACCCCACGCCGCGTCGTGGCTATCAATCTCAGTTCGGCGAAACCTACAGCGAAGAGGCGCTCGCCGCCCCACACATTCACATTCACATTCACATTCACTCTCGCCACTCAGTCGCTCAGAAGTCCGCAGTATGATGAATGATACCTACAACATATCAACTCTTCCCTTCAAATTACAATTCCCTAAAATAACTAAAAGAAGTCTACAGTAAACTCTATACAATGAACGTAATCTTCCTCCTCCCTCTCCTGCTCCTACTCTCCCCATATCATCCCGCGATTTCTAGAACATGGTGGTGGTGGTAGCAATTCTGCAGGAAAATAATACCAGCCCAAGCGGCGACCCAAGAACAAACAGACAGATAGCGGACCAAAAAACTCCGGTACAAACGTACGTAAACGCAGACAAGCACTAGGTAGGTAGTAGGAACAATCGAACGTAAACACCAACACGAACACCGGTATTAAAATGGATAAGGGATGGATGGATCGCTAGTTTCGCTCGCTCACTCGTCGGGTGGAGGTGAAAAGGTAGAAAGGTGGAAGGTAGGTGGAAGGTAAAGGTGGAAGGTAAAGGCGAAGGTAAAGGGTGAAGGGGGCAAGTTGAAGAGTTGGAGGGGTAGTAGTCGGCATCGGCATCGGCAACGGGGAGCGGCAGAGGGGGGTGGTCGTAAATCATCCTCATCGGTCAGGTCGGGGTCGGGTCGTGCGCGCGCAGCTTTCCATTCCCTCGCTCCTTAAAGTGAAAATAACGCCGCCTGTAGTAGTATCAATTTGAATTAGCCCACTGTCCACCGTCACTGTCGCGCATCCCCCCCTCCCTCTCGCGCACGGTCCGGGTATACGTACGGCAACTAAAGCGCCAAACAGGGCCACACTCGATGATATCGTTGTGCCAGCGCTATCCTGGTCTCCGGGCGCGGGCGTAGCCGACGGCGCCGTCGCGTTCGTCGTCGCGTTCGTTCCGTTCACCGTTGGTGTGGTAAGGTTCTGCGCGAATGTTGGTGTCGAGAGCAGCGATAGCAGGAGTACCAGCGCGAACAGGAACAAACGCGACGAGGATGGGGATGTTGGGGATGCCATCGTGCTGGTAGTTGTGCTTGTGGTGGTGGGAGGAGTAGGAGGAGGTGGTGGTGGCGGTGGTGGTGGGAGGTGGGAGGTAAAGGCGAGGCGAGGTGGTGAGAGCAGCGAGGATGAGCGAGTGCTTGCTTGCTTGGGGGGATAAACGAAAGTTGGCTGGCCAGGTGGTTTGAAAGACAGATAAACTTCTTTTTTTACCGTTGCCGCGGGTAGTAGGTAAGATCACAAAAAAAAACACCGGAACGAGAAATTCGAAGAGAGAGAGAGAGCGAGGATAGGACAGACAGGAGACGAGAGAAGAGAAAAAAAAAGAAGGGACGAAACCGGGCGCGTTAAATGCGATTGTGGGAATGGGGGCTGGAAAGGAAAGAACAAGTTTGGATTGGTCCCCCAGTACGCACGCCTATGTAGCCAGGGGTGATAACCGACGCTAGTGGGGAGCCTCCGACACTGGCGCAGGAGGTGGTGGAATGCGTGCACTACTAGTTACTGACTGGTGGCTCGCTCGACGAGACGACGAGTTCTGCTGTGTGCTGCCCAGCTGTAAGACAAAGGGCTCAGCACGTTTATCGATGGTAGATATCCAGCCCCAGCCCCAGCCCGGTCTCAGCCCCAGCCTCAGTCCCAGTCTCAGTCCCAGTCCTACCCCGCGCCGCGAGCGCAGCGAGCTCCACGCACTCCACATGACAGTACACACCCACAACTCAGCTGCAGCTCTATCTATACATAGGCCGCAATGCAGGCAGATACAAACAAGGTACTCGCACTGCGCAGTCTGAATGAACGACCCCTCCGATGATCATGATCAGATCCCCGCGATAGAGTACGATAAATAGATGCAAATCGTTACGTTGTGGCACATGCCTACATGTCTACATACGCGGAAGCATAGGATTATGGTGGATGACGTTGCCTCCCTCCCCCTCCGAACGAACGTACGTTCGATATCGACATACCTACCCACCTAGGTAGGCAAGGCGTTTTCCCCCCGGCGCATGGAATAGAAAGGGAAGGGGTTTGTAGGTATGCTACATACTGAACTAAGCCGGCTGTTCTCTTATGCGTAGCGTACCACGTGCACGAGGGGCAGTACGGGCAGTACGTACTTTTATTTCCCACGACACGCATGCACGACTCCGGCATCTCCGCGACGGCTTCACACGAACATGCAAGGGTTAGTTATGGGGGCTGCACTTGTCGCTGCTTATCGCATGTATGCGGTGTGGCTATCACTCGGGCGGTGCAAAAGGGGGCAAGGCAAAGCCGGAGTGCCACACACAGAGTGAGTGACAAACAGTGGCGAGAAGAAGCCACCGCGCGCACGTGATGGATGATCACTCGGAAGCGACAAATCGAGCACTCGCAGCCGGAGATCGCGCGCGATTGGCGCGTCGACGGTATACCTAGTAGTCACTCGAGTGGCGGAGCCAACCAACCACGCGGTCACGCAGGGCGGCGCAGGCCGCGAGTGCTGCTATATGAATGAAAGCTTCATATCTCATCTCATCACTCGATCCGTACTCATACAAACATCAATTATCCCGTGCGCTCTCTTCCAATTCAAGATGTTCCGACCCCCGACGGCGACAGGCCCATCTAAATGGTAAGTAAAAGCGCATACATCTAAAATTACATTTTCTTCCGGCAACGTGCTGCCCCGAAAGAATAGTGAGCGCGCGTGGAAAGCATAAAGTATCCCACCAAACTCAAACTCAAACCCAGACCCCAAACCACAATTGCACCGCCCAAGTCAAGTCCAAAGCTCCAATGTCTACTGCAGCAGCAGCAGCAGGGCTCAACTAGAAGACACACGCGAACTAAGTAAGATGCAAAGAAGATGAAACCCTATCACGAAAAATACCTAGATCGTACTCAGATACGCAAACAAACAGCCCAACACGACTTCAGGCGTATCAACGTTCGAATCCAACAGGAGGATGTAATGGTCGGTAAAATGGCGATATGTGGTAACTTTTATCTTTTTGATCCGCAGCTTTTTCGAAGGAGCCCGGATACTAAGAATGATGGGAAGCAGCGACAGGAGCTGAATTGCCGTTCTGTAGGACCGGCTTGGCTGTCGGAACACCATTCTTCCCGAGATCCCGCAGCTCAGCCATAGCAGCCAGATTCTCTTCTTCCTCGGTATCCTCGTCCGCCTCCTCCTCTTCGTCCTCGCTGCCCTCCTCTGATCCTTCCTCCAGCTCCTCTGAATCTTCCTCGTAATCCGAGTCGCCCTCGTCGTCTTCGAGCATCTCCTCGCCCTCGGCGCGCAGACGGTTCTCTAGACTGTTGCGCTCCTTCTGCAGGGCGCGGCAGATACTCTCCAGCTTGAGGTTTTTCTTCTTCAAGTTCTCGAGCTCTTTCTGGTGGCGAGTGCGTTCCTCAGCCATCTCCAAAAGGTTCCGATTCGTGATCTCCGACTTACGCGAGAGTGTAAGATTTTCCTTTTCGAGTCTCTTAGTCTTCTTAGACATCTCTTCCATCTCTTTTCTAAAGGTGAGAAACAGATCGTTCGAGTTGTTGAGAGTATCTTCTACCTGTGCGCCGTTCTTGTTATTATAAACCCCCTAAGAAGCACCGGGTTCACATCGTGATAGTCGTACTTGCTTGAACTTCTCGACGTATATGTTGAGCTGGGACCTGAGCTCGGTCTCCGTCTGCGAAAACGTCGACACCTGAGCATGCAAAGCTTTGGCACGGTTTGCCTCAATTTCGGCCTGCTTGCGCTGCTGTTCGTAGCGTGCCAGGTTCCACTGGACTTCCAGCTCTTTGGTGCGAAGGACCGATTGGAAGTGGAGCTCGCGAATCTCGAATTGGTCGACGAAACTTTTAAACTTCGCCTTGAATCTATTGCCCTAAACATCAACAATCATCCTTGTCCCGCTGTGCACATCGGCGATTGGATGGAGGCAAACATACAGTTCGTCGAGCTCCAGGTTGGACCTGCGGCTTCCGCCATCTTCCTCTTCCTCCATTCGGCTCTTGATTTCCCAAATCGTACTTTCAAACTTTTCCGAGAGCTCCTCCCTCTTCTGCTGCTCATTCTGTGCGAGTTTCTTGCTCTCGTCCTACCCACCCGTAAGCCCTCGTGTATGATATCCGTCTCCGGTGAACCCCATCCACTATATACCTTGATGCGCTTGTTTTCCTTCTGTAGCTCCCTACACAACGTTTCCAGCTTGTGCTTCATACTGACGGCTTTCTGCATCTCCGACCTCGATTGGTCCTTTTCCTTTTGCAGTTGGTCCGCCCGCTTTCTAGACTTGGCGTGATCTCGCTCCAGGCGCTTCATGTCGTGCAGGAGCTCGCTGTACTTGGTCTGGATAGCATCAACCTTGGCCAGATGATCTTCGCGGGAGGAGACGAGTTCAGCGAGTTCCTTGTTGGCCTTTCGGACAGCACGGGCTATATTGCGAAGAACGTCAGTGAGACATAGCGCCATCTGGCGGGGAGAGCAGTATCAACCCACAGATAGCCTTCTCTTCCTCTTCCTCCAACGAGGCGTCGGTTTCCAGTTGCGAAATCTTTTGGTGGAGTAGATTGTTGACCTACGCCGGAGCAACCAGTCAGCCCATTTCAGCCGTTCTCCAACCCCGACAACAGGGTAAGTTCCGTTCGAAGACACCAAACTGTCTTGTTTCCCTCCAGCGTTCCAGCTCTCACCTCAGATGGATCCAACGGTTTCTTGGCAGCCTTTCCATTCGCAGTGGCGACAGGGGCGGCCGCCTTCTTGGGTGTGAGAGTTGTAGGAGCGGGAGCAGGAGCCACAGGAGCCGCAGCGTTTGTCGGAGCAGGAGGCGCGGTGTTCGACGTCAGTGGATCCTGGACACCACCGGGTTCCCCAGCCGTTTCTCCATCGCCAACGGTCCCGGTCGAGGTACCTCCGGAGGGGCCCTTAGACCCTCCACGCTGAGTCGAAGCAGGATCCGCAAGAGCAGCCATGAAGAGCAGTTCTCTAGGTGCGTGTATGCAGGTCGTGTGATTGCGTGACTCTGGTCGCGACTGGGCGTCTAGCGAGTGGGATAGTTGCAGATTGGGCGGGGGAGGGGAGCAGGTGTCGCCAGTTGATGTCGTGTGAGTAAGCAAGCAGCAACGGGGAGTGGAGAGGTGTAAGTGTCGATGACGGCGGAGGAATTATGCAAGGGGACCAATAGCCGATGACGAGGGACAGGCAAGTAGATTTTGGGTTGACGGCTGAGAGAGCGGTGGCGGGGAGAAGGTAGAGTACTCTAAATTAGTTTGGGGTAGTTGTCTTGTCTGATGGACGAACCGAAAGAGGAGAGAGTTTGGTTGTCGAAGAGAACGAGAAAGGAAGAAGAGAAGAAAAGAGAGAAGAAACCCTGAGGGAGTGGAGAAGTGACGACCACAGTCGTTCTTTCTTTCTTGTTTCCCGCTCGGCTGGGTGGTGTGAATGAGTGAGTTGAGGTGATACTGGTTTGCCGCTCTCTCACTGTTTCTCTCTCGCTCTCTTTTCCCTTTTGCGCTTCTTTCTTCTTCTCCCTCCCAGCAAGCGTATAGTACAATTCAGGTGCGCAAGGAAGTCGTGTATGGCCAGGTACTATGACGATCGTGATGGTACAGGACGGAGTGGATGTGTAATAGAGCGTTTGTAGGAGCGCTGCCACTCGTGTTTTCCGAGCAGTCTGGAGATTGTCTCGTGCTGCGGCTGTATCCGTATTGGTGTGGGGCTCGGTCCTGCTATTACAGCGACGACAGAGGTGACGGCGGGTGTTGGCGGCGGTCGTTAAGGCGTCAAAAGGCGGGTCAATTGGGTCGTACGGAGTGTTGCGAGGCCAATGAGATGACGGTGTGAGCGAGGCATGTACCAGTACTTGAGCGCAGTGCAGTCGAGTGCGGTACGGCACGGCACAGCACGGCACGGGTACAGCGTGGACCTGGTAGACTCAAGAACTTGTTCGGCCAGAGATATCCGGTGGCGATGATTGATGATGCGTGCGGGCCGTGGAGAGGTCCGCCGTCGTGTATGGAGTAGTGTTTTGCTACGGTTGAGACCGAGGGTGGGATCGCTCTAATGGGCAGCATTTGACTGCGATGGCTGACTGGAGATTCGTTCGCTTCTGCTTCTTCCATGGAGGGGCAACGAACAAGCCCACACGACCGGCACGAAGGAGAGTAATGCAACAAAATGCGCACTGCTGCGGCATAGAGAGCGGTGCCTGCATTGTCAGACAGACAGATGACAGGACTCTGGGGATTCGCCACGTTTCAATCAATTTGAGATTCGATCGCATCAGAGGGTGGTGGTGGTGATGGACATGGTCTGTGCCTGACATCACATCGCAAACTTTTGGACGAAGGAGAACGCTGCGTGTCGCCACTCACTAGACGCACAACACCTGCTCACCCACCTCCCTTCCATCTCCACCCGACGATTCATTCCCGGCCGGCGGTACCCACATTCACGCACGCCCGAGCTACGCAAAGCTTCTCACAATGCTCCGAGGAGGCTTATCCTTCGCCCGACTTGCGGTCGGCAAACGAGGAGGCTTGCATTGCCGCATCCCCAAACGATCCTATGCCGCCCTCACCGACCTGAAGCAGCTCCCCCAGCCCGGTGATAAACTCCATGGCTTCACAGTACAGAGGGCCAAGAGTGTTCCCGAACTGCAGCTGGCTGCCGTCCAGCTCCAACACGACAAGACCGGGGCCGACTACATCCACGTGGCGAGGGACGACAAGAACAACGTCTTCGCCATCGGCTTCAAGACCAATCCCAACGATGATACCGGAGTGCCGCATATCCTGGAACACACCACGTTATGTGGGTCTGAGAAGTGCGAACTCATTGTTTTGTTTGTTGGCGGCAGCTCGCCCCCCTGAGCTGACCCGTTTGTCAGATATCCCGTTCGCGACCCGTTCTTCAAGATGCTCAATCGCAGTCTGTCGAACTTCATGAACGCGTTTACCTCGGGCGACCACACTACCTACCCCTTTGCTACTACCAACAGGGTCGACTTCAACAACCTGATGGATGTCTACATGGACGCAACCCTTAAGCCTCTGTTACTGGAGAGCGACTTCAAGCAGGAGGGCTGGAGGATTGGCCCCGAGAATCCAGCTGAGGCTGACTCGCCGTTGTTGTTCAAGGGGGTTGTTTACAATGAGATGAAGGGCCAAATGTCGGATTCGTCATACCTCTACTACATACGATTCCAGGACCATATCTTCCCTGATCTGCACAACAGTGGTGGAGATCCTCACAAGATCCCAGATCTGACGCTGGAGCAACTGCGCAAGTTCCACAGGGACCACTACAACCCGTCAAATGCCAAAATATTTACCTATGGAGATGCTCCCATTGAGGAGCACCTGAGCCGTCTCAACGATAAGCTGAGTGGGTTCGAGCGTGCAAACGTGGACAGCGACCTCCGGGAACCCATCACGCTGAATGAGAGCAAGACCATCACCGTACCAGGACCAGTCGATCCCTTGACGGACAAGAATGCCCAACACAAAACCTCCGTTTCCTGGATAATGAACGAGACCGCCGATACGGTCGAGAGCTTTTCTCTGAGAATCATGTCTAGTTACCTGCTTGACGGATACGGCTCGCCGTTGTACCAAGGACTGATCGATGAGAAACTCGGGTCGGACTTCTCCCCCAATACTGGGTACGACACGAGTTCCAAGAAGGGTATACTCTCCGTGGGGCTGCAGAACGTCCGGAAAGAAGATCTGAAGACTGTTCAGGAGAAAATCCATGAGGTCCTGCAGAGCGTGCACGACAAGGGCTTCGACGGGAAGAAGGTCGAGGGCATTCTGCACCAGCTTGAACTTGCGCTCAAACACGTCAGTACACCATAGTCATTCGACACTCGGCAAATAGCCAGCTGACTTTGGTTAGAAAACGGCCACCTTCGGCATGTCTGTGATGCAAGGACTCACCCCTGCCTGGTTCAACGGAGTGGATCCGTTCGATGCCTTGTCTTGGGAGGAGACTGTCTCCAAGTTTAAGGAGCTGTACGCCAAGGGTGGATACCTTGAGTCGCTGCTGAAGAAGTACATGCTTGACGCAAACACCCTTACATTCACGATGGAGCCGGAGCCGAGCTACGGGAAATCACTTACCAACGAGGAAGCTGCGCGCTTGGCCGCTGAAATCGAAAAGGTCGGAGGCGAGAGCGCAGCCCGCGGCGGCCTGGTCGAGCAGGAACTCAAGCTCCTTGAAATCCAGGAGAATGCTCGTAACCAGGACCTCAGCTGCTTGCCAACCGTGAAGGTGGAAGATATTCCTCGGGAAATGGAAAAGAAGCCGTTGCAACACGGAAAGATTGGCAACATTCCAGTACAATGGAGGACAGCACCCACTAACGGCCTGACCTACTTCAGAGGTAGATTTTGTTCCTGACTTGTCGACAGACCAGTGCTAAATTTACAATAGCGGTGAACACGCTGGAGGATCTTCCCGAGGAGCTGCGGATGTACCTGCCATTGTTTACCGACGCAATCCTGAGGCTGGGAACCCCGAAGAAAACGATGGAAGAGCTCGAAGATATGATCAAGCTCAAGACCGGCGGTATCAAAGCGGGCACACACGTCTCCACCAACCACAGCAACCTCGAAATCACGGAAGAAGGACTGGTCTTCTCGGGATACTGCTTGGACAAGAATGTTCCGGACATGCTCGAGCTGTTGCGGACAATCCTGCTCGAAACCAACTTCTATGCGGTGTCGAAGTTGAGGACACTTATCCAGGGAATTGCCAGTGGCTTTGTGAACAGCTTGGCCGAGAGCGGACACAACTTTGCCAGGACATTTGCTGCTGCCCATCTCACTCCTGCTGCCGTATGTCCCCATGGTACTGTGTTAACGGAGGGTGTATACTGATGGCCGGCAGAGGGCGACTGAAGTCATGGGCGGTATGACACAGGTCAGGCTGATAAGTAACATGGCCGCTAACGAGGTCTACAACGAGGCCCTAGATAAGCTGCGGGTATGAACTTTGAGCCTTTCTACATAAAGTCGGACTGCTAACAGCATTAGAAAATCGCTGAGTTCGCCGCCCGCCAGAACGGGCTCCGAGTAGCCGTTACCTGCGGCACAGAAGCAGTTTCTGACAATGAGGCCGCGGTGCAGAAGTTCATTGAGAGCCTCCCCATTGCCCAGACTCCTACCAGGGACAGCCCCCTATTCGACTTCGAAGCTCCAACCAAGGCCTTCTTCCCTCTTCCGTACCAAGTCTCCTACACATCCTCGTGTGTAAAGACAGTACCTTACACGCACAAGGACGGTGCTGCTCTACAGATGCTCTCGCAGCTGTTGACGCACAAACACCTGCACCACGAGATCCGCGAGAAAGGCGGAGCGTACGGCGGTGGTGCATTCCACCGCGGTGCTGGCGGAATCTTCGGGTTCTACTCGTACCGCGACCCGAATGTAGCCAACACGCTCAAGATCATGGAGACTGCCGGGCAGTGGGCCGTGCAGAAACGGTGGTCGGAGCGGGATCTCGAGGAGGCGAAACTGAGTGTCTTCCAGGGAGTCGACGCACCCACTTCTGTGAGCGAGGAGGGAATGGTCTACTTCCTTGACGGCATCACGGACGAAATGAGGCAGACGTAGGTTTCCCCAATCAGCGGGATTAACTGGTTACTGACGTCCAACGCAGCCGTCGAGAACAACTTTTGGACGTCGCCGTCGACGATATCCGGAGAGTTGCGCAGACGTACCTCGTCGAGCAGGCGGGCAAGGAGGCCATCGCGGTGCTCGGTGAAAACAAGGACTGGGTCGATGAGGCGTGGAACGTCTTCCCGCTCAGCCTCGACCCGTCGCAGTCCGTGCCTGCGGATGACAGAGTCGTCCTGTAAATTACGTTCACGATCTCACGTATAGGTAGCGTACAAAAAAAAAGGATATGGAGTTCAGTTCTTTTCGACCATGTATGTACGATAATGTATAACAGCTTTTAAACATCATCACCAACCATCATCCCCCGGCCCCCGTCCCACATCCCCCAATCCCCCACATACGCGGAGACCTGCAGATCGTCTACCAGTCCAAGTTTCATGACTGTGTAGATCACTGGTTTTTCATTATACCGCAAGAGAAAACATAAAAGGGCGTACCTAAACACATACGCCCGTTTCCCCCCTCCTCTTCTTCCTCCTCCTCCTCCTTCGCGGACGGCGGGGGAAGGGGGATGGTGGGGAGATATCACCTGAGATTTCAGAACTGTCGATTAAAATGCCGAAGATGGTGGCGCGATGGACTATAGTCTTGAGGACATACTTTTTTTTGTTTGTTTTTGAAAGGGGAGAGAGAAGTGGGGAGAAAGGTGAGGAGAAAATGAGAAAGGAGTTTTGAGCTGTGGACAGTGGACTGGACAGTGGACAGTGGAGCAGATTCATGCCCCGCTCACCCGCTCCGACAAGTATTTTCTGTAGGTGTATGTACCCCCACTCTGTCCCAGTGTCCCTCTCTCTCAGTCCCTCTCTTTCGTCCCTCTCTCTCATCACGACCGAAACTCTCTCCTCTCTCTCGTGCAAACCACCAGCGCATCACCCTCACCATCATCATTCTCCTCACCCTTCATACTTTACCTACAGGCTACCTACCGCGCCATGGCAAACTGGCAGTTGCAATATAAAATCATATATCACATCTTATCTGCTAGCTTTTGGTTTGCACGGTAGATACTTTTGAAAAAAATAATCAGAGATCGATCTGATCGTTACCCAACTCCCTCCTGCCCCCATCACCACCCCCCTCTAGCAAGCAAACCACCCCCCATACGCAATCCACCCCCAACATGACCTCGCCACCACATGCCAGTCGGTGCATGCTTGCTGCTTGCTGCTTGCTGCTGCTGCTTGTTGCTTGCTTGTTGCTTGCTTGTTGCTTGCTTGTTGCTTGTGCAGCTACATACACCCACACATACACACACGCATACCCTAGAGCCCTAGAGCTCTAGAGTAGCGCCACCGTTTGTTGTGACCTACCTACACCACCACCACCACCTGCATCACCACCACCTGCACCACCACCACCTGCACCACTACTTGACTTGAGTGGGGTTATGTATCTCCATTCCAGCCCACTCCGGCCCTTTTCCACTCCAGCGGGGTGGGTGGAAAAGGGCGGGCACGGCAATTTGATTGTGGGGACGCCGGGCACCGCACCGAGAATTGTTTCATATGTGCACTGCACTACGAATGATTCCTGGGCGGCTTGGGGATTGGGGTGCATGCGAGATCTTGAGCTTGAGGCTCGCGTGCTTGCAAGTTGCTTGTAGATGTTTAGGGAAAGGAGGAGGGGGGAGGGGGGGCTTGACTCTTGAGATCGGCTTGTACTTAGTCCGCGCCCGAGCCCGAGTCTGGGGAAATGGGGGCGAGCGAGTGATAATCGGTACATACTCTACCTACATGAATGCGATCAGCGGGGCGGGGCGGGGCGGGCATGGTACGGTATGTATGACGAAGGGCAGGTCCTTCGAAGTTCGGTGTCCATCCCACCACCCATCCTATCTACCGCGTGTCCAGTGTTGAGTCTGGGTCTGGGCATGTTTTGAAGTGAAGCGACGGCTTTTTTTCCTGATCGCAATTGAGGATCGGTGGTCGGTGGGCAGTTGTATGTATGAAAAGAGTAAAAGAGTAAAAGAGTAAAAGAGTAAAAGAGTAAAAGAGTAAAAGAGTAAAAGAGTAAAAGAGGCGGACCTTTTCCGAGTGTGCTCGAGACTCGAGATGCATGCGGAACCGATCCAATCCAGTGCAGCGCAGCGCAGGAAGGGAATGAGGATGACAAGACGAGAGAGCGAGCGAGAAGGAGGTGAGATCTAGAGTAGAGTAATAGGAGACGTGGTCGACTTGTATTATACCCACTCGCACCTCGCGGTGGTGGCGGTGGTGGTGGTGGTGGTGAAGTCGGTTGTCGGCCACGGCGGGTAGACTCTCTTGGTCTCTTGCTCTCTCGCATCTAGCGTAGCGGCATGCGGCACCCTCCCCAAGCAACCTAGCGAAGTCACAGATTCGTGACGTAACTGGTTAGCTAAAGTTAGCGGTTAGAGTACCATCGTGGTTAATCAATTGCTTGATATCGCTTGCAACGTTTGAAAGTCAGAATGTTAGAGTATGTAGTTGGGTACCGACCTATCCACCCGATCGTGAGGTTTTAGATTGACGGATTGCCGGATTCTTCATATTGGCTCGTTTGTTTTGTTGCGCGGAGGGTGGGGGGGAGGGGGGAGGGTGGAAAGACCAGCTAATGGAGAGAGGGCTGCAGACTAGAACTAGACCGCATGTATCCGTGGATTTGGATTTGGATGCGGGTTTGGAGTTGCAGCGCGAAGGCAATTGGAATTGAGTTGAGCTGCGGACCCCGCTTCGAACGCACAGTTTACCGTGTTACTTGTGGGCGGTAAGACTCGAGAGCCGAGAGAAATAGTTACACCTTGAATTCGCATGCGTGCGTTGCGCTGCAAAACGGTGATATCCTGACTCGCGAGTCGCGAGTCGTGAGTGTGCTGAGAAGTGCAGGTGAATAAATAGAGTCCTCTCTCTCTTTTCGGATACGGATTGTGCACACTCCGTCACAAGTAAGGCCACATGTTAAAAGATTGAGTCCATAGAGTGCGTGCTCCACAAACGGTGTGTCGGTCGTCATTGCGTCGCGGTGGTGGGGGGGAGGGGGGGAGGGAGGGAGGAGGGCGTGAGATGCGGGGAAAGGGCACATATCTAAGCGTAAAACATGGCCTTACTCTAGAGTACTATGGAGCAGCTACAGACATTCGGAGTTACGTCCCTCGTCCGGGTCTCACCCCCTCGTCCTCGCGCCTCGACAATCCCGCAGTTTCGAGTTTGCAGCATACGAATCGTCAGGAATGGAATTGAATTGAGATTGAAACGGCCGTACATGACCATGCTCGCAGGAGAATTTAGTTCCCGAGATCTCGGAGATAGAGCACTTTGCTTGCCGCTGGGCGTTGGACTCTGGGGCCATAAATCAGGAGAGGTAGGCTGATGACTGGCGATGTGAGGTTATTCTTCTTCTTCTCGCTGTTGGTATTCTCGCAGACAGAGGCAGACGGAGACGGAGACAGACAGGATTGTCCGAGCTCAATGCCCGTGTCGTTCGTCCTAAGCAGGTGATCCCTTTAGGGTTAATGTCGCATCTTGAGTTTTTGACGTCGCAGTCGCACTGCGCGGTGACTCTCGCCCTGATTGGCTGGGTAAAGCGGAGTGTCGTGCACTGCAAGCTTGTTCTTTCGTTAGCTTCAACTTTGGTGGAGACAGCCGCACTGGTGTGAAGCCTTAAGTGTGGAATGGTTTGGCGATGGTGGGTGGTGGTGGTGGTGGTGGTGGTGGTGGTGGTGGTGGTGGTTGCTCGTGGTGGTTGCTCGTAGTGGTGGTGGTGGTGATGATAATGACGATGATATGCCGCCGCGCCCGGGCCCCGCGGAAGGAAAAGCCACTCTTCCAACAACAGCAGTGTTGTCGTCGTTCGTCGACGATCTCCAGCGTGTCTAACCCAAAGAACTGCCCGACTGTCCTGTTTCAAAACCCTGGCCACCCTCCCCCCCTCCATCGCCCTGCCTAACTCCCAGTCGTGACCTGCGTGACCAGCCAAGTGAACGGAGTGCATGTGTGCATGTGTGTGTGGATCGGTGTGTGTGTGGGCACAGGAAGTGTAGCGGCGAAGAAGCAGTGCGACGCTGAGAGCTGTCTTGTCTTGTCTGGCTATCGTATCCCGCTCAGTGGCCAGCAGCTGGATCCACTGCCTATAAAGCTCCCCCACCACCCTCGATTGTCTCTCTTCCCCCATCCTTATTCCAACGTCTACTAAAGCCAATTATTGTACGTGGCCGACTTCTCTTCTTCCCCCTCCCGAAGATACCACCCTTGATGGATCACGGCAGCTGACGGTACCAAAGTAGCTGAACAAAGAATAAGAGAAACAAAGAATTTAAAAGAAACTGAATCGCCAGAATCAATCCAAAAGCAATCCATACACACTCATCAGTACACACATCTTCACGGCCTCTCCACATTTACCGCTTCTACCAGTCCCTTCGTAAATCCAGCGAGGAAACTCTCCATCCTTCACCCCATCCCTCACCGAAAACATCACAAATATGTCGTCCCACGGTAATAACAACGAGAGCTCCAACATCCGCGATCGACGGGGATCATTCAACCCAGGGTCCAGCCTTTCCGACTTCCTGTCATCCAACCGTCAACCACAGCCTCCCTCTGCCTATCCAGGACCCATTACCACTGCTGCCGCACACGCCAATACCCAGCGACGGATGAGCATGTCGAGCGTCAACGGCTCACCCCCCCAAGGGCCCGGCAACTTCTCCTTGAGACGCGGGTCCGTTTCCTCGATTTCATCCATATCCTCGGCGCAGGACGAGAGTGCCATTGATGATACCGAACTGGCTTCCGGTAGCCCCAGCAGCCCGTTTGCCCGGCGGATGAGCTGGGGCGCTAGAGCTCTGCGAGATGTGCGGCTTCCCGGATCTTCCAGAGTCCCCCCGAGTCCCAGTGCTTCCTCACCTACTGTCTCTCGAGGTATGTCTCCTCTCTCCCTTCTTGCTTGCCGGATAACTGACCTTGCCATTAGGTTTCTGGCTTGACAACAAAGCCAGCGGTTACCCAATCGATCCCGCCTTCCAGCAAAGGCGACAGAGCATGCCGGGACCTCCAGCACACGCCATGCCCGCGCCCAAGGAGACCGCCCCGGATCCTCTTCAGGAGCGGCTGCTCCGAAACGAGTTCTACATGGACTAAGCTTTCGCAGATCAAGCTCATTCCCCTTTCCGTCCGGAGTTCATGGAAATCTTTTTTACGTTGTGGCGTGGCTTTTTTTCTCCCTTGGGAATTCTATAACCAGGATGTCCCGGCTGTTCATTCGATGTTATTCGTTCATCTCTATGCCTTTACAACTTATCATCGCTCGTATTATTATCGGCATTATTATTCTTCTTTGAGGATTTGTATGAGTAGGGGTCTTGTCTTCCGAACTTGCTTGTCTGGCCTGGATATTGTCGGAGCACTTGCGCTCACTCGTTTTTTCGCTCCATTGCATGCTTTCCTCCCATGTGGCCACTTATTTTGCTTGCTGTTCTCTATGTCGGTGACTTTCTGATTCTTGTATCAAGTACTTCTCCATTGTCGTATTGGATTCATCGTTATTCCCCCTTGTATTCGCATCATTTGTTGGTGTTGATTGATCATGATTTTTGAAGTTCTTTTGCACAAAACCCTCGGACGGAACGGAGTATCTTTTCCTTTCCTTTTTTCCATTTCTTTTTTTTTCCTGTTTGGAAGCTCTCTTGTCCCAGTTTTGTTTTCCCGGCTGCGATTTCACTCGCTGTTTGAATAATGAAATTGAAAGAGTTCGAACTTGCCTCTTCGTAGATGTGTCGTCGTGGTTGAGTTGAAGATATTACTAGTGTCATAGCAGATGTCTTAGACACACGTGCCCCTTCCATCCTTCGGCTCCTCCCCTTCTCCTGGACAAACAGCAACCGCGGGGTTTATGCAGTGGGTGACAGGGTCGATGTCCAGCAGACGAGAGGTTCGCTTCGAACAGTTAGACCACCGTTATCTCTGCGAGTATGTTGCATAGAAGTGCATCTCTATTTTATTTCGTTTTTCACTCTGCCCTTTTGTATATCCTTCTTTCCGAGCAGTTGGTAACTCGAAGAAGAATTACTCCTCGATGTGTACAAGAGCGAGTGAAGGGAAGAGCACTCTACCCAGTAGTTTCTGCTCAGACCGGTTGGCGACGCAGGAACAGGTGCGTGCGGGCGGGGAGGGGGCCGACGGCAGTGTTTGCGGTCAAATGGCCTTGGTTGGTGGGTCGTGTGTACAGACCGACAAAGGAGGAAAGAGGGGCTCTGCAACATCTGCGCACTGCCACGGAAGCGCTGGGCTGCACGATGATGATACAGATGATGGTGTCGTTTTTCTGTTGTTATGCAGCAGATACATACGAACAGTACCTACTTCCGTGATGATGATGATAGTAATGCACCAGTGGCTGAAGATGAAAGTGGAAGCCGATAGAGAAGTTGATGCCGAAGACATCCCTATCGAGCTCCTCCTCTTCTGGCTTCGGTTCACCGTAACCTTCTGCCGTCTTCTGCCGTCTTCTCGTTACTCTTCTTGTCGTGTGTGATTTGCTGTTGATTGACCCCCTCCCCTCTGCCCCAACGCAAAAGCGAGCGCTGGAACCCCTCCGTTGCCGCCAAGACATATCTCCCTCGCTCGCTCGTTCGCTGTCTCGCTGTCTCGCTGTCTCGCTGTCTAGCCGCTGCAACAACTTCTACCTGCTTCCCCGTCTCCCATCTCCCATCTCCACCTCTGTCACCGACATCACCCCTCCCCCACCTACCTACACATCCACAACCAAAACCACCATCTCCTCTACCAAACACCATCAGCTACCACCACAACCTCCATCATATCCCTATCCACCTACCACTTCCGATAAAATACTACATTCTCCATCCATCAACATGACTACTGAGGTTCGTCCATATCCCTCCCCCCCAGTCTGTTTGTTGTGCCATCGTCGCTGTTTAACCCCTCCCCCCTAAATCGACCAAACAATCCCAACCCCCTCCTCTGCGCAATACAAACATCACCACCACCCCCCAGTCGATAATGGTCCTGCGATCTGTGCTAACTATAATCTCTCCTTTTACAGCGCGAGAGGTATTCTTAAAGTTTATCCGTCGGCTTTTCGACGCCGAATGCTAACTTCCCGTGTAGCAAGACTTTCCTCGCCAGACTGTGCGAGCAGGCTGAGCGTTACGATGGTTCGTTCGCACCTTATCTCCTTCCACCCACTGGCGATGCCCTCGTGGATTGGCGGTTGCTTACGACGATGAATACCGATTGCTGATGATTCTCCTTGATGGTTATAGAGATGGTCACCTACATGAAGGTACGCGACACCCCTCCCCGGCGCTAGCTGGCTGATAGCTATTACCCCTTGATGGAGCATATTGCTAATTCGTTCAACAGGAGGTTGCTAAGGTATGCTTACCATTGGACGCTCGACCTAGCGCGTTCGGCTTCCTGCCATTGCTTGCGATAGCATGGGGGGAAACGAAACTTCGAGAACACGCGTTGACTGATGTTTTTTTTATAGCTTGGTGGAGAGCTCACCGTTGACGAGCGTAACTTGTTGTCGGTCGCCTACAAGAACGTTGTCGGAACGCGACGTGCTTCGTGGCGCATCATCTCCAGCATCGAGCAGAAGGAGGAGACCAAAAACAACGAGAAGCACATCACCAAGATCCGCGAGTACCGCCAGAAGATCGAGGATGAGTTGGAGAACGTGTGCGGGGATGTTCTCAACGTCCTTGACGAATCGTTGATCCCCAAGGCTGAGTCTGGCGAGTCCAAGGTGTTCTATCACAAGATGTGAGTTATACATACTCGCCACTCATTCAAAAGATAACCACCATCTGACAATTATTATAGGAAGGGTGACTACCACCGTTACCTTGCCGAGTTCGCCCACGGCGACAAGCGGAAGGAGGCTGCCCAGGCTGCCCACGAGGCCTACAAGGTATGTGGCGACGTTCCAGGTTTCCAGTTCCTGGATCGATAGTTGAGCTAACGTTGTTTTTGTTTGCTAGAACGCCACCGACGTTGCACAGACCGAGTTGACTCCCACCCACCCCATCCGCCTGGGTCTGGCCCTTAACTTCTCCGTGTTCTACTACGAGATCTTGAACTCGCCCGACCGTGCTTGCCACCTCGCCAAGCAGGCTTTCGACGACGCGATTGCCGAGCTCGATTCGCTCAGCGAAGAGAGCTACCGGGATTCGACCCTCATCATGCAGTTGCTCCGCGACAACTTGACCCTCTGGACCTCAAGCGACGGAAACGACGTCGAGGAGCCCAAGGAGAAGCCTGCCGAGGCAAAGACCGAGGATGCGCCCGCCGCTCCCGCTGCCGAGGAGGCGAAATAAGCTTCATCACCAAAACTAACTTCCTTACATTCACCCGAACGACGACCTTTTTACCCTTTCCCACACGATTTGACTGTTCTTTCATTTCCTTTCTAATTGAAGACGGATGATCTATAGGGGGCACTTGGAAAGATGTTAAGAAGATGGGGGAATTGCTGTAATGTCATTTCCTTGTTTTACTTTCCTGACTACTCAATGTTTTCTTGCGTGACCGTCGTCAATTCACAAGACAGGGCAAATTTTGGGATATAATATTTTCGCGACGCGTTCTGGGAGGAAACACGGAGGGTTGGAATTGTTGGCTTGGTCGTTTGTGTTGTTGTTGTTGGGGTCGTATAAACCGATGATAGCTGTGGGGAGATGTGCTTTTTTGCTTCCTTTCTTCTCACTTATTCTGTTTTTCGTCGCTGTTGCTGCTACTGCTGCCCGTTTCTTCTTTTTTACAATTCTTCATTTCACACAGTTCAGTTAAATCGGGTTTCCGGCTTGCGTGGTGGTGGTGGTGGTGGTGGTGGTGTGGCGGTGTTTGTTGGTGATGGCGGGGGTTCGTATTTTAGCATGGCTATTTTACGAACTCTTTCTTCTTCTTTTGAGTTGAGTTGTGAGCGTGTAATCCTTCTTACTTGGTCTGTTTTCTTCTTCTTCTTCGACTTGCGATAACTGTTTTTCCTTTTTCCCATCCCCCCACCCTCCCCCCCATTGTTTGGTAGCAATTAGGGCTATTGCTGTTGCCGTTGCTGTTGCTTTTGCCTGTGTGATCGAACTTCGAAGTGACCGACCCCGCTTTGCCGGAAATGGGTGGAAGATAAGCCCTGGTGATCTCTGCATACGTACAGTATACAACCTGTAAAATCTACGGTCGTCGGTGATAGGTATCGAGGTTATTTTTGGATCCAAGTGATACACTGCCACTGCCATGAAAAATTATCGATTAAAATACATACAAACATTTAAGGTCTAGTTATTCTAGTTATAATACACTGCGCCATGTTATAATAATTTACACATGAATGAGCAGCATCTGCTGTAGAGCGGCTGCGCGGCCGAAAACGAAAAACAAGAACAAAACGAAACGTGAAAATACCAAATCCATAACCTGCCATTGCAGCAACATTTGATGCTCAGCGGAGCATAAGCATCTTTCATAACCTCCCATTGCAATAATATGATGCTCGGCGGAGCATAACCATCATCTTCCATAACCTCCCATTATAATAATAATAATTTGATGCATGCTCAGCGGAGCTTCGTCATCTCCAGGATGTCGTGGCGGTGGAAAAACGAGCGGTTTCGTTTTCCAAAGATATCTGTGCACACCACACTTCATCAGCCCGGCTCCTAATCATCACGAGGGCTCTTCTCCTCCGGGAGGACTTACACATCGGCACACTGAGTAGTCCAACGACAACCTGGACCACGCCCAGAATCCAAAATATCCTCCACACGCCCGCCTCCGCGACCCAATCAACAGCCTTCCACGTGAGTCCGAACGAGAAGAAGTTCTTGAACAACAGAAGACACGTAAAGCTCTCGATGGCGAGGTCTCTATGCGCGTCGACGAGATAGAGGGCACTGGCGGTGGCACCAAGGATCATGCCCATTACCTCCATGCCAAAGAAGAAGGAGGGGAGGTAGGGGCCGTATTTGGCAATGTCGCTGCAGGTGAGGCCGAAGCCAATGAGGCCGATCACGCCGAGCACCGTTTGAGGGATAACGAGGAGGATCCGGAATTCGGGTTCGTAGACGCCGTTGTTACGCTTAGAGAGAGCTTTGGCGGACCAGTCGGAGAGCAAGCCCGAGACGAGGAAGCCTAACATTGCACCCACGAAGGCACCGGTGTACATGTAACCAGTTTTTACTTCGGAGAACCAGAGGGGTGGGCCCATGAACTGGATATCTGTCAGCAAATGCCGAATGACAATTTGAAGGAAAGGTTGGAGGGGCTTACGATAATTCCCAAGACAACACCGATCATGACGGTCCATCCGATCAGTGCACCTTGTGTAAGCATTCCCCAGAGGATCGCGGGATGGAGTAACAACGGGAACGGTCGCAGGACAAGTTTGAGCACGCTCTCGTCGGTTTTGCGCCCGTTGAAGAGAGCGAGGCTCTTGAAGTAGGGTGTTGAGGTTTTCGGAGATGCTTGCTCTCCATTCTCCGATGCCTGCTGCGAATGCTCTCCATTCTCCGATGCTTGCTGCGAATGCTCTTCAGACTGTTTGGTGGGCATGAGCTCTACCGACGACTGCCGCTGCTGGTTGGCAATTGTATCCTGTGTATCCTGTGGGTACATTAAGTTCTCGGTGGATGCCATATCTGTGTTAATTTCCCGGCGAAAGGCAGTCTCTGGGACTAAAAAGAATACCTTTTCACCCGGTTAGCCATATTCCAGTGCCTTCGTCCCGGGGGTGAACCTACAGCAGGAAGCATAATTCCGGAGAATATTCCGACAAAGTAGAACGGCCATCTCCACGACATCTCAAACGTCATCTTTCCCACGATTACCGGCGTGAAGAAAGCTCCGCCATATAGCGCAAAGTTAGTGAAGGCCATCCTCTTGCCACGTTGCTAAACCCGAGTCAATCCTTAATTCCTCTACCTCTCCAAGCGAAGAAGTTGACATACATGCACTGGGTATCTGTCACCACATATTAGCTCTCTATACTTCACTTTCTCTCCACCCTTTGGGATCTCACAAGTCTCCAATCGAAGCATTGACCAACGCCTCGAACGGCGTGACAGCAACACCCTGAATCACTCTTGCCCAAAGCAAAGAGTTGTAAGACTGTGCAGCGCCACCCCAAATAGAGCTTACGACCAACAATACCGTGCCGAGAATGTAGAGGTGTCTCTTTCCCCACACTCTCGCGGAAGGTACAAAGATGAAGCCGGCAACACCAACGCCGAGTAGATGCCATCCTTCAACATGTCAACGATGAACTCGCAACGGTGGGAGGGTAGGCGGGCCAACGAACCAGTCAGCAGTGCAACCTGCGTGAAAGTCTTGTCAAAGTAGAATGCTAGCGTGACGGTATTGGCAGCGAGAATCGGGCCGAGCCTATATCGTGTGAGTCAGGACCTTCCGATCAAGCAAGAACGGGCGGACACCTACGTAGCGGCCATGATCTACGGTTTGCGTCAGCACAGTCCCCCACAGAGAGCACGCCCAAGAGGGGATGCTCACCGACACAAGACACAGAACAAAGGTGATGGTATCTCTCTTCGCCAGCGACCAATTCTTCCATCACCAGCTTCGTCAGCACCATGATCGTCCGGGCTAATGACTAGTATGACGGGATGTCGTTGCAAGCATACCAGTGGATCATCGGGATCGTCAGAAGGTTGTGGAATCAGCACGATAGGCTTCTTCCCCGATAAATCGTACTTGAGCCTCGGGTCCAATTGATTGCCTTCGTTGACAGTGGGATCGAGCTCTGAGGTAGAGTTCATCTGAGCCGTGCCTTTTTTCATTGCATAGCTCGTTAGCTAACACGGACCGGAAGATGGCGTGAAGTATAATAGGCGGAACAGGGCATATAAATACCGGGCACATGCTTCATCTGTCGATCTTCGAGGATTCCCAAACCCATGTTTATCGAAGTTCGTGAGGTCACGGGCGTATGGAGGGGTGTTGTGGAGTTATGATATGGAGGGGTTTTGTGGAGTTATTGTATGGAGAGGTGTTGTGGAGTTAGGATGAGGAGATGGGATGTTGTCGATGTGATCAACCGTGGACCTGGATGGCCTTCTGCAAGTGAGAGCGTAGAGTAGGCAGTCTGCGCACGTTCGGGAGGTGGACGGAGTGAGTGAGGTCGACAAACGCAAGTTCGATTGTGGAAGCCAAGCGAAAGGGTAATGGCGGTACGCTCCGGGAACGGGCTTCAAAGGGCATAGAGGGGGGATGCACGACGGGTGTGCATCCTGCGTGGCTGGGCCTCAGTCAACCAAGTCCAGCGGTATTCGATGGGCCGAGGATGGTGCATGCAGTCGGGCAGATCGGCGGTGGCACTTGCGGAGCTGCTCGACTCAGACCCTTGACTGGAGGCTTGCTGAGCGTATGGTGCTCCGTGGCGACGACCAGGTCGCTCAAGACCTGGAGCGCAGTGCACGATGCCCGAGTATGTGCCTACTGTGTGCCCATCGTATCCATCGTGCACGTAACGCTGCACTGCAATCTGCACTGGGGAGTGGACAGATAAACCAAAATAAAACGAACCTGCGCTGGAGGGAGAGTGGACAAATAAACCAAAACAAAACAAATCTGCGCTGGAGAGAGAGAGCAGAGAGAGCAAAGTGTGCCATTCCCACATATGCGCATGCCCGTTCGCTACATCCCGCGCGCACCGTCTCGCTTCCTTTCGTGATTGCGGCTTCAGGCATCCCTACCGGCGAGGGCTGGGCGGCCCTGCTAGGAGGTGCTAGTCGGTGCACCGCTCCACCGGTGTCTCGATCCTCGAGCCATGAGGATTGCTCGCCCTGGTCCAGCGCTCGCCGGCACTTGGTTCCCTGCGTAGGCTAACCTCGCAAACATAAAACACGGACTTCACTAGCCGAAACCTGATGGTGGGCGGCACTTTCGCCCCTTGCGGTGTAACGAGCTGGCCAAATGAGTCCCCAAGATAGCTCCCCCAGTCGTCGGTCCTGCTGGATCGCAGCTCGTGGGTTGTTTATGTATGCTGCGAGTTTGTGGGGAAGAGGCTAACCCATAGGTGATCGGGCAAAAAAGAAGTGGACCAGACAACGAGGTGCATCTCACAGGAGAGTGGTCCCTTCCAAACGGGGCTGGTGGCGTCAGGGCGATTTGCCCGGTTGCTGGTATAAATTATGCTCCCCTCCCCCCGACTCCCCTACACCTCCAGTTTGCTGTTGTTGATTCCATCCCACGACTCTTCTTCTCCACTTTCAATCCGTCTTCAATCGTTCGATACCGCTTTTTAATCTCCTCACCTTCACCTTCAATCAACCGTCTCAACCCAATCAAAATGAAGTACAGCACTGCCCTCTTCATTGCTGCCGCGGTGGCCACCGTCAATGCCCAGCTCGATGGTCTCCCGACCTGTGCGGTACGTCGACGAACAACCATCCCGATCTCTACCACGACCACGACCACGGGGGGCTGACATTTTGTGCCTTTAGACTGCCTGTGCCATGTCCAGCCTCGGATCCACCGACTGCAGCGACACAAACTTTAAATGCATCTGTGGAAAGGAGGATTTCCTTTCCAGCATTTCCGGTTGCGTCAACAGTGCCTGTAGCGTCGAGGATCAGAAGAGTAAGTCACACCTGCTGCGAGTACACAGTGTTGGGCGTCATGATCACTGACGTAGCACCGAAATAGAGTCACTGGTGTTTGCTCAGGACTTCTGTTCGAGGGCCGGTGCCCCAATCCCTTCGGCCGTAATCGCCTCATTGACCGCTACCGCCTCGTCTACCGCCTCCGCCAGCGGATCCCGTGCGTCCGGCGTCTCCGCCTCGGCCACCGCCGTCTCCTCGGCCCTCTCCTCCGCCGCCGCTGCTGCCGAGACGGGTGCTGCCAGCAAGTTTGGTATCTCGGGTCTCGGTCTCGGTGCCGCCGCCGCCGCTTTATTCTTGTTGTAATCGGTTCATAGTCATTAGCTCTTTTTCCGGGAGGTTAGGGAAGGCAGGGACATTATGGTTCGTTAGACAGTCGTATTAGCAAAATTGTATTGTAACCAATAACGGCAAGAATGATTGTTGCCTTTGTCTGCACATCGGTTTCCTTTTTGCGTCGTGAAGCATATCCCGCGTAGCCAATCATTGTCCTCCGTCCCTCCCATTCAGCCAATCGGACTTCCATTCTAGCGCTTCGTGTCGATCGGCACCGTCCCATGCGCACCAAACCCACACCAGTTCCAAATCCAAGGGCCAACAATGATTTCCCTCACTCCCTGTCTCGCCTGCGGAAGGACTTTACCCATCCTTTCCGCTTTCGACAACACCGGTTCGGTACCCAGGTTTTGTCAGATATGATAAAGGGGGATGACTGCATGGCTAGCATAGGTACCTATACAGCTCATGAGTAAGCTTCCATCCAGATACGAAGAGAAGGAGACCGGTGCAGTGCCGTATCATCTACGACTAGCATAGGTACCTGTACAGCTCATGAGTAAGCTTCCGTATAGGCATGAAGAGAAGCAGGCCGGTGCAGTGCTGGATCGCCAACGACACCGGTTTGATGAACGAGCTCGTCCACCTCGTCCGGCCAAGTCGTTTCGTTCCCATTCCTTTCTGTGACAACCTCGGCCTCTCGTCCTCGTAGAAATCAGACAGCCCACAATCACGGTAGTGTTTATGGCCCCATCTAGCGTGCCCTTGCTTTGGTATTGCTTCACCTCGCACATCATCGATGGACCGCTGTTCCATCCAATTCATGGTTCACCGTGATTGTGTTGCGTGTATTCCTCAGGATCCAAGACATCAAGGGCTCGTCCTTGTGTGGCGTAGGATACTCGTATCATACCTAGTAGGAAATCCTTCAATGTATGTAGGGCCCCGGCAGACATTCCCGTTGCGTATGTGGTTTCCCAGCTGCCATTTCCCGAAACCAATGGAACAGAACATGACAAAAAAGAGTGGTTTGAAAAGCTAGATTTGTGTGTGTGCAATGAAGAAGAGAGAGAGAGTTTAAGTTTTGTGTTGTAGGTGAGGGGAGGAAGGATGGACAGACGAGGACAGGAGGAAGGGAGACTTCTTTGTTTCTCAAGCAGGCAAGCAATGGACTTAACGCAAGATCCCAGGAACACTCTATGGGTAGTACCTATCCGACCCTTGACTTGGAATCGGATAATCAGCGGGGAAACGAATGTGGGATGAGGCTCCGGAAAGCTTGGCTTCGGTCCAGGCCGGGGTGAACTGCAATTGTGCGTCGATCCCCCAGTCAAAGTGCATTCTATTCGGTTTAAAGCTGAGTGGGAGGAGGAAGGTCAATTTTCTTATACAGGTACGGACAAGAAGCCGCACGGCTTTCCTCTCTCGATTTCTGGCGATTTCTCACGACTTGAAGCCGTGAGATACCCGAGTGAGATACCATGAACTAGGTGACCGGGTAACGATCTCGGAAGACGTAAAGTTTTTGGGAGAAAAAAAGGCGGCAAACCCAATCCAAGCTGCCCGACATCCACCACCAGCTCAACCCCACAACCTCCTCGGCCACCCACGACCCTTCGTTTTTTCCTTTAGTCAACGCACCTCGCACCAAACACCCTTCAAGATGTCTTCCTTCTGGGATGCCTTGACCGGCCGGAAATCCACCACCTCTTCGTCCTCGATCTCCGCCCCTACCGCCCGCCCTTCTACATCCGCCGATCCGGCGCCGCCTCCAGACGCCGGCGACACTGCACCCACATCATCCTTCACCTCACACGCCCACCAACCCACCTTCGACTACGCCGCTGCCGGCGATGTATCCTCCTTCCTCAAGCCTGCAACCAACGACCCCTCGACGCTACACCCGCTCGCCGGTCTCGGCGGCGACCTGACGTACCTCGACCTCGACGACGCGGCGCTCTCGTCGCTGCCGGGAGCCCGCACCGCGCTACCATCACGAGGCTGGTCCGACGACCTCTGCTACGGCACGGGCGCCACATATCTCATCGCGCTATCACTAGGTGGCGCCTGGGGCCTGGTCGAGGGGCTGAACAAGACTCCGGCCAACTCCCCGCCACGCCTAAAGCTCAACGGCGTGCTCAATGCCATTACGCGGAGAGGCCCGTTCATGGGCAACAGCGCGGGTGTCCTCGCCATGGTCTACAATGGCATCAACAGCACCGTCGGATACTACCGTGGGAAACATGATACCGCGAACTCTGTCATCAGCGGGTTGATCGCCGGCGCGATCTTTAAGAGTACTAGGGGCGTCAGGCCCATGGCTGTGTCGGCGGGTATCGTGAGTGCGGCGGCGGCAACGTGGAGCGTCGGTTCGAAGGCGCTGCTGTAATGGTGCGGAGCGGCGGTGTTTTTTTTCTCTTTCTCTCTCTCGACTCTATGAGTTTGTTGGTACAAAAAAGGTGTTTCGTTCGTTCGTTCGTTCGTTTGGGGGTGGGACAATCAATGTACAAGACGAGAAATGTGAGATGATTCTGGATGGGCCGGCCGGCCGGTGGGTGGGCGTACGATGGGATTGGATTGGATTTAGACGGCGAGTGGGGGAGTGGGGGTTTGCATTTTTCACTCAATCTTTGTACATTACATTACTTGCTACTTTGGGGGCGGGGGGCTTTTCGTTGCCACACTTGCTCACTTTCGCATCAGAACTGAAGGGTTCCTGTTTTCTGTATTATTATGGTGCCGTAACGGTACAGTTCCGACTACACTCGCTGTGGCCAGCTTGTCCTGATGACATGTGCTTCCTTATCTCTTCCGGCGCCGTCGCGGTGGTCCGGATTATTGGACACCTATGCTATCACCATCACGTCCTTGAGCATAGGTGTAGGCATATATGCAGGTTGTAATTGGCTGGCCAGCCAGCAAGCCACGCTCAAATGCCCACGTCCGGATCCCGAGTGCTTATACATATAAGGTTGAGGCTGGGATTGGGATGTTTCATGTTCCGTGGGGTCAAGAATTTCGGCCTTCGAACTTTGGCCTTCGGCCATCTTCCCCGCGAAGTCATCGGCCCGGATCATGGATGTCTACAGTACATAAGCGCGCCAGCTTCGCGGCTAACAATCCACTAGACACTAGTTACCAGCACTTTACCCGCATGCGCCGGAAGCCATCCGTAGTTTTGTCACCAAACCTACTCCAATCTCTTTTCTTTTGCTCCGCCACCTCCTTCGCTCACTGGTGACCTCCCTCCATCTCTCACTCCGTCTGCCCAGTGCCCAGTGCCGTTATCCACTTTTAAGTTTTGTCCAGTGTCACCTGTGAAGATTTTATTTTTACATACTTTTTTTCATGTTTTATTTTCCGTGGTGGCCAAAGCTGGGCCAAAGCCAAAGCCAGAGCTGGGTCGGCTCGGTTTTCCGGTACTGGTACCTGAGCTCAAAATTCAAATGGACGAGATGGGGGATGAATGGGGGATGGATGGGGATGGGAGGCGGATGGGAGGCGGATGGGAGGCGGATGGGAGGCGGATGGGAGGCGGATGGGAGGCGTTCGACGGATGCAGGTTGCGGGTTGCATGAGCATGAGCCACGTGGGGCTTGATTGGGTGTGATATGTTTGTATGTAGAGTACTCTACATACGGGCGAGGGCGTCGGTTCTTAGAGTATCTACAGTTCACCAGATATTTGTGGGGAGAAGGTTACCTATGCAGAGCCCATGTCAGAAACAACAGAAAGGCCCGAATCCCATGCTATTCTCTGTCGGTTTCACTTATTTTCAATCAGTGCCTCAGACCCAGCACTAGGTAGGTATTCCACAGCCCTGGTCGCTTTCCGCACAGTCTCTTTGTTTCCCATCAAGCTACTAAGTATATACAATCCGCCTCTACATACTAGATGACCTCAAAGGTGTCCGGACATTTGGTGAATACGGGACCAATACTAGAGTCTATACCGCCGAGGGCTGAGATGTGGAGGTGTTGTGTTGTGTGGAGGTATTGTGTTGTGTGGAGGTGTTGTGTTGTGTGGAGTAGCTGCTAGAGCACCTACCTATGGACGTCGAGGGGACGGAGCTTCGACGAAGATCGCGATACATCTTCCTACACCATCACTCCGTTCTATGAACGACACTGGTTCTCAAAGGATCGCGGCGTGTCCACTTTCGTGATGCGTCCCATCGATTGTTTGCTACGATCCCTTAGGTACATATCTCATCCTTCAGTTCGGCCTTGACGACATAGGTTTTATTGTCGATTCCTCTAGGATGGAGAATGCTTTGGTGGCTATTATAGAGTTCCGTCGGTAATGATAGCAGTAACAGGACCGGAAAGTTTCATAAGCACTTCGTAAAAGAGAACGCTTTCATCAGCTCAGCAGAATATCTCCTTTGTCAAAGAAAAAGTAGGTACGCGAAGATTCATTGGGTTGGATTGGGTTGAGGTTGGGTTGGAGTTTGTAATAGGAACGAAGGATCCTCGCCATTCTCGGGCTAGATGGTTTGCGGGGCTGGCTCGGAGCTTCGGAAAGCTGCGGGTAAAGTTGGGGGATCTGGTGGTGGTGTCTGCACGGTGGAGGTCTGATAGCTGGAGCTCGAGGGTCAATAGCAGGCACGGGGCGACAAGGTATCTTGAGATGAGTTGGACAGCACCGTTGGGCAGGGTGGCAGATTAACTGTTTCGTTAAGGCAACGGAGACCTCCAGGCTGGGTCCTTTTGAATTGCTGTGTACTACCACCACCACCGCAGAGTAATCGAGGGGAAGAAAGGTCAACGCAGGCAAGCTAGGGAGTTAAAACCATATCCGAAAAGAACACATTTCAACAGCAGCTACACGTTTAGTCAGGGTTGGATAGAACTATCTAGAGCCCTGTCTGTTCCCCTTCCCCGACCCCAGTGTCGAAAAAAGACTTCCTCTTATCTTCTTCTGTCTTTCTTCTCTTTTTCTCTTCTCGACTCTCTCAATACTCTTTGTTTGAACCAGAACCCCCCTTTCGGCGCGTTCTGCAGTATCACCATTCCCTTACCACCTATTCGATACGACTCCCTTCTCCGTCAAGCCCACGAATCGAATCGAAATCACCCAGCTGCCAGCTCAGCACTACGTCGGATACGCGTGTCCACGAGGAACACAATACAATCTACCCGGTTAACCACCAACGACGACCACTACTGAGGCATTCTCCAAGGGGTTGTCATGGAGCGTGCATACGCTACGAGCGGAGAAGAGGTCCTCAACTTCTTCCACGTTGATGAACAGAGGGGTCTAAGCGAGAAGGAAGTAACAGATGCACAAATCAAATACGGGAAGAATTGTAAGGAGCTCCTTCTTCAAAGAAAGGGGGTGGTGGTGGTGTTCGTGATGTTGTTGGTGGTTGCAGTCGCGCTGATACTAGTGCCATCTTGCCAGCCCTACCAGAAGAACCTCCTACGCCGTTATGGCAGCTCGTGCTCGAACAGTTTAAAGATCAGCTCGTCATAATATTGCTCGCATCCGCCGCCATCTCGTTCGTGCTCGCGATACTAGAGGGTGGCGATGACAAGACCGCCTTTGTAGACCCCGCAGTTGTCAGTTCTACCGCTCTGTCGGAGGAGAAAAAGGAGTGCTGACGGTCCGAATAGATCCTTACCATCCTGATCCTCAATGCCGTCGTCGGAGTCTCGCAAGAGAGCAGCGCCGAAGCCGCCATTTCCGCGTTGAACGAGTACTCGGCGAGCGAAGCCAAGGTGTTGAGAAACGGAAACCTTACCCACATCCGCGCCGATGAGCTCGTTCCCGGTGATATCGTCGATGTTGCTGTTGGAGACCAGATCCCCGCCGACTGCCGCGTTCTTTCGGTCCTGAGCAACAGCTTCCGCATCGACCAGGCTATCTTGACCGGTGAGAGTGAGAGTGTTGGAAAGGATACCCACGCCGTCAAGGATGAGCTTGCGGTCAAGCAGGATCAGATCAATATGCTTTTCTCCGGAACTACTGTTACCGTTGGACATGCCAGAGCTGTGGTCGTCTTGACTGGCAATGCGACGGCGATCGGAGATATCCACACCAGCATCACTTCGCAAATCTCGGACCCTACCCCGCTCAAGCAGAAGCTTAACGACTTCGGTGATATTCTGGCTAAGGTCATCATGGTTATCTGCATCGTCGTCTGGCTCATCAACGTCCGCAACTTCAGCGATGAGGCACACGGCGGTTGGGTCAAGGGCGCCATCTACTACCTGAAGATTGCTGTTTCGCTCGGTGTCGCTGCTATCCCGGAAGGTCTCGCCGTGGTCATTACTACTTGTCTCGCCCTCGGAACCCGCAGGATGGCTGCAAAGAACGCCGTTGTGCGCAGCTTGCCTTCGGTCGAGACTCTGGGCAGCTGTAGTGTTATCTGCTCGGACAAGACCGGTACTCTGACCACCAACCAGATGAGCGTCGCCACGGCTGTTACTATCTCGGAATCCCAGATGGACCTCGATGAACTTACCCTGGCTGGAACTAGCTTCGCACCGGTCGGAGAAGTCAAGACCGCCACCGGTAAAGTTCTGCTTGTGGCTGCATCTCACTCTGTCACCATTAAGAGACTCGCTGAGGTTGCCTGTATTTGCAACGATTCCGCGATCGCCTACGATGCCAAATCTAATGCCTTCACCAACGTCGGTGAACCCACGGAATGTGCCCTCAAAGTTATGGTTGAGAAACTTGGTGCCCCTAAGGCCACTGCCAACGGTTCCGCCGGTTCCGTTGCGATCAAAGAACGCATGCACGATGCCAGCAAACACTACGAATCCTACCTTCCCCGAATTGCGACCTACGAGTTTTCCCGCGATCGTAAGAGCATGTCTGTGCTTGCCGGTACCAACGGTTCCTCTGTTTTGCTCGTCAAAGGTGCTCCGGAATCCATCTTGGATAGGTGTACCTCCGCTATGGTTGGTGTCGACGGTAACAAGGTTCCTCTTCGCTCGGATACCCGGGAGTTAGTGAACAGGAAGCTCTCGGAGTATGCCAACCGTGGTCTTCGTGTGATGGCTTTCGCCGTTGTTGATAACATCTCTGGACACCCTCTCATCGGAAATGCCACCACCACCGAGGAATACGCCGCTTTGGAACAGAACATGACTTTCCTTGGACTCGTCGGAATGTTGGACCCTCCCCGCCCTGAGGTTAAGGAATCGATCCGGAAGTGCCGCGAGGCTGGTATCCGTGTCGTCGTCATCACCGGTGATAACAAGCAGACCGCCGAGACCATTTGCCGACAGATCGGAGTGTTCGGTGAGGATGAGAAACTTGATGGAAAATCGTACACCGGAAGAGAATTTGATGCCTTGAGCGATTCCGAGAAGTTGGCGGCTGCCCAGAGGGCCAGCTTGTTCTCCCGCACAGAGCCCGCTCACAAGTCCAAACTCGTTGACCTTCTCCAGAGCGCTGGTGAAGTCGTTGCCATGACCGGTGATGGTGTGAACGATGCCCCAGCATTGAAGAAGGCCGATATCGGAGTGGCAATGGGTTCCGGAACAGACGTTGCGAAGCTCGCTGCCGATATGGTTCTCGTCGACGACAACTTTGCCACCATCGAGCTTGCCATCGAAGAAGGACGCAGCATCTACTCCAACACCCAGCAGTTCATCCGTTACCTGATCTCCTCCAACATCGGAGAAGTCGTTTCCATCTTCCTCACCGCTGCCCTCGGCATGCCTGAGGCACTCATCCCCGTGCAACTCCTCTGGGTCAACCTGGTCACCGATGGTCTTCCCGCCACCGCCCTCTCCTTCAACCCTCCGGACAACGAGATCATGCGTCGTCCGCCTCGCGGTCGCGATGAGCGCCTCGTCACCGGCTGGCTCTTCTTCCGCTACATGGTAATTGGCACGTACGTCGGCTTCGCCACTGTCTGCGGCTACGCCTGGTGGTTCATGTTCTACCACGCGGGCCCGCAGATCACGTTCTCGCAGCTCTCGTCGTTCCACCGCTGCTCGCGCGAGTTCTCCGAGATTGGCTGCGACATGTTCAGCAACCACATGAGCAAGTCCGCCTCCACCGTGTCCCTGAGCGTCCTCGTCGTCATCGAAATGTTCAACGCCATGAACGCCCTTAGCTCGAGCGAGTCGCTGCTCACTATGCCCCTGTGGAGGAATATGAAGCTGGTTGCTGCCATCGCCCTGAGCATGCTGCTGCACTTTGCCCTGCTGTACACTCCCGTTCTTCAGGTTAGTCCATTACCCCCCCCCCCTCTGATCTCTCCTCTCGCTTTGATAACTAATGCATGAAAACAGTCGTTGTTCTCAATCATCCCCCTCAACATGGACGAGTGGAAGGCGGTCGTCTACATCTCGCTCCCCGTGATCTTTATCGATGAGGCACTCAAGTGCGCCGAGCGGATGTGGTTCCTGCCACACCCGGCGGTCGTCTCTACGAAACCAAAGGTCGAGTAGATCGAGTAGAGGGTAGAGTCGCTTGTACGAGTTTGGTGTGTGGGGGGGAAGGTGGTTAGAAGAGTTGTTTTTTGTTTGTTTCGATTCTTTCTGTGTATTTTTCATTGTGATGGTTTTTTTTTCTTTCTTAGATGGCAGATGGCAAATACATCGCGATACACTACTACACTACACTATACTACCTACGCTACACTACCTACGCTACTATATCTCCTTATGTGTTTGCGCATCAGTGGGCTGGGGAGGAGGTGGTACTGGTGGTACTGGTGGTGGGGGAGTAGAGAGAAAGGGAAGGGCACGTGTATGTTAAAGCTAGAGAGGTGAATGAATCGAACAGCAGATCAAATAAAGTCATCACAGGTAGCACTCGTAGTTTGTTTCGTTCGTTTGGTTTTGACAAAAGCAGATCAGAAGCACATACAACACACTGTCTCCGTCTTCCATCTTCCACCCAGCCAGCAAGCCAACAATCATCTCGTCATAAGTAGTAGTATGTAGTGGTGGGTGCGTAGTTGCCGGATGTGCCTGCCTTGCCCTTGCCCGTTCCGCTGCTCTAGTCTTGTCTTCCTATACACCACGACCACAAGTCAGCTTCATTCCCGGCACGAAGGTGGGGGAGATGGGGAGGAGGATGGGAAGCTCCGTACCCTTCAGCAGCCGCTTGACGACCTTATCCTTCGTGATGATGTAGACATGCGCGCCCCAACCGGAGAGGGCATCTCTATCGACGGCGTTCAGGAGCGCCTGGGAGCAAGTCTCGAAGAGGTCCTCGGGGTCAAGATTGGGCTCCCACAGACTCTCGCAGGTACCGTAGAGCTGGTCGCTGGCGGTGCCGCTCACGATAAAGTCCTTGGCGAAGTCGATGCAGCCGATCGAGTCGAAGCCGCAGATGAACGGCTTGCCCGTGCGGTGGTTGATCCCCCCGATCACCGGCGATAGGAAGTACGGCCCGAACCGGTGCTCGTATAGCGTTGATGAGACGAGGTTCGCCATCGTCTCGGGCTCGATTGAGCGCTCCTCGCGCAGGCGGTACAGGTTCACTTTGTAGCGCATGAGCTCGGACCTAAGGGCGTGCGTGGGGCGTTAGTATGGTGGGGGATACGGCGGGGGAGAGGAGGGGAGGAGGGGGACTGCGGACATTGTCGTCACGTCGGTGCCGAGGCCTGTCAGCCCTAGGTATGCGTCGCCGTATGAAAAGATCTTGGGGAAGTTATTTGAGACGGTGAGGGCCTGCATTCCGAGGCGGAGATCGCAACCGATCACGACACAGTCCTTGCCGACCCTGTTTGTTGTGCATCCATCCATTAGCTTCCGCAATTCAACACCCAATGAATGAATGGCGACGGTTAGGACGAGAGGAGGAGGACGTACATCGCGACGACGGCTCCGCCGTTTATGCTGAAGGGATCCGACTAGAGATGGGATTGTAGTTAGCTCATGCTGCTGCTGCTGCTTGGGTGAGGCCGCTGAGAGCCCGGGGGTGCTGCCGGCACAGCTCACCATCTAGAAATATGCTCTGTTGTACTTGGAGATGCCGGAGGAGCTCGAGAGGGTATCAGTGGTGATGCTCTGGGACGTATGAGACGAGGACGGGATGGAGCGTGATGGCGGAGGCAGTGCGTGGGATGAAGAGTTGAAGCTTGAGGTCGAGGTGTTGCGGGATGAGATAGTTACCGCCAAGACCTGGTTGGCTAGCTGAGCCGCAGTGGGGCTGGGACGGGTGAGAGTATGTGATGGCCTCACCGGGCTCCTGTTACCCAAAGATTGAAATCTTATTGACTCTATATTACTGCTTTTATATTGACTCTATATTACTACATTTTGTACATTGTTCATCAAAGCACGAGACAACAACACAATCAAAATATAAACACATCCACACGTAATCACACAGGAATCATCCGATAGCTCTCATTTACACGCCCGAGCTCACAGCTCCTCGCGAAACCGACTCTCCCTCATCCCACTGGCCTCACCCTCCACCTCCCAAATCCCCCTCATCTCCCTCGAATTCTCTACATTCAGGACCACAGGAGTATTCCTAACCTCACTTAGCGTATTCCCCTCAGCGTCCCTAACGGACGACGAAGTTTCCATCGTCGTTGACTTGAACACTGGCGTTGCCGGCGCCTCCATGTCGGCGTTTGAGCCGATAGGTACCGCGACCGTTTCCTTTGTGATGATCGTATCAGTGACGGTCTGCGCGATGATCTCGGAATGCATCGAGGCGGCGGGCGTGGTGGGCGCGTCCGCGTAGACTTCGTGCGAGTCGGCGTCGTCGTCCGAAATCATTGCTGTCTCTGTCGTGGTACGAGTTGGGGCGGTTGCTGTCTCCGGCGTTGCTGTATGAGTCGGGGTAGTTGTTGCTGTCTCCATCGTTACTGTGGGAGTTGGGGCGATTGCTGTCTCCATCGTTTCGGTACGGTTTGGAACATCTGCCGTAGCCATTGTAGTCGCCGTCGCAGCCGGTACCTGAGTAGGACCCGTGGCATTACTGCGGTCGACAACGAATCCCTCCGTCTCCCTCTCTTCCAGTACTGGCCGTTCAGCGTGCTCTGCGCCCCTACTTGGACGGATGCGATCAAAAAAGACGCTCCCGATGCTGGCGCGATGTTTGTGCCCCTGCGTATGTTTCGGGGCTGGGACTGGCTCTGGGCTCGGAACATTGGGCTCGAGTGGCTCAGTTGCCGGCTCCGGGTTCGGATTCGCACTGCTACGTTTGCTAAACAAACGTGCAACCCATGATTCGTTGGCGGGCTCTTTCACGGTACGGGGACTCTGGGGAGGTGTCGCTGGACGCCGTTCCTCCTCGGTTTCTGGTGCCGGTATGGCGGAGGCGGTTGTGGCGGTTGGGAAGGCGGATATGTACTCGCGGTTTGGGGCGGTTACCGGAGTCCCTAGTGGTTTTGCGGACTGAGACACCGCCGCTGGTGCTGTCAGTGGCCGGTCAGGTTCCGAATCGACGGTGATGATGCTTGTACGATCTGCGGTCTGGTTTATACCAGCTGTGGTGAGATCCCGACGGTTGTCGGTAGCTGCGACATTTGATGCAGGTGCTAAGAACGGGCGGGCATATTCAGAGTCCGAACTGGCCGTGTTTGTTGGTTTGCCGCCGCGAGTCTTGCGAAGGATCCGAGCACGGACCTTGTTGAATGTAGATATTTTCTCGGGGACTGGAGGCATGGGAAGCGCTCCTACTGTACGGTCTGGTATGACTGTCGTGTCTCCTCTCTGGCTGTGCTCCAATGACGCACGGTGGGTGGTATCCGTCCTTCTAACTACAAGTTGCGTCAATAGAGTGTTATGCGCAACCTCGAAGAATCTAATTGTACCTTCTGAAATGGTATTTTCATCGCCATGCCGGTGTTTACCACCGCCAAAGATCTTCGTGTCTTTGACCCGACTCATCTTCCTCGCTCTATCCTGCGCCTTCGCCTCCTTCTTCTCCTGCTTCAACTGGCGATGTTCACCGGCCCTTTCATTTAAATCCTCGATGACGGGGCGAACATTCCTCTCCGCAATCCTCTCCAGCTCCTCCTTGTCCATATACGCGCCTCCTCCGATATCCACCTGTCCAGGCGGCCGCCTCGGCTGCTCCAATCTGCGCTGCGCGATCTCCGTCGCCCGCGAAGCCCACTCATCGCTGCACACGATCCCCTTCCGTTCCGCGATCTGCCGGTCCTGCAGTGACAGACGCGCCTGCACATTCTTCTTTGCAGCGGTCATGAGCAGCAACGCATCGTGACCGCGCTTCTGTTTTTCCGCGCGCTCGACATCCTGATCCGAAACCGGAACTTGATTCCGATTCCGGTTCCGGTCGCGGTCTCGCACCATCACTCTACTGGCCGAGCTGAGGGATGCGCTCCGGCCGGGAGTCCGAGGAACGTAGCCGATGTTTGCGAGCCGCTGCTCCGCCTGGCGCCGCGCCGCTTCCTCAAGATTGGGGTATGGCGCTCGGCGCACGGGGCGACTGCTGGACGGCGGCAGCGGCGGCGGCGTATCCGCCAGCTCCTCGCGCTTCAGCCGCTCATTAGCCATGGATAGCACCGCGGCGTTGCGGATATCGGCCTTGAGTTTTTCCGCAGCGGTGATCTCGCCGTCGGACGTCGTTCCGAACCCGGAGTCGCGGCGTCTTCCCGTTGCAGCATGGGTATGCGCAACAGTCGCGGCGCCGAGCACATCCCCGCCGATACCGCTGCACACAGCGGGCGAGGATTCGGCTCGTCGCCGCCCGCCCCGGATCGCCCCCAGTGCCCCGCGCAGCGGCCAGTTCGGCGTCGACCCGTCGGAGGTGACGGGCTCGGCCTTGGGAGAAGGCCGCGAGCCACCGGACTCCCGGTTCGCGTGCGCGAGCGATGCCGCGGCTCCGGCTGTGGAGTTCGGGTTCGGATGCCATATCGCTACGGGCTTCGCCGAGGCGTACGCGAGGAGTGCGGCCGTTGCGCCTGCGGACTCGGGGTTGACCAGGCCGGAGATTGGGTAGCCGGGGAGGTTTCGCAGTTCTTCGCGGTGGAGGTAGTGGGCTTCTGGGAGCGGGTCAGATTCGTTCTTTGAGTAGGAGTGGGATCTTACCGGCGGAAGACTTGCGAGGCTTTGCTGAAACCCCGGTGCTGGATCGGCCTCTGTCGTCAACGACGCCGGCGGCGGCGCTGCAAGTGCACGCTTCACACGTCTGTGTCGCTTCATCTGTACCTTCCGCTCTACGCAGCGGTCTTGGGGTCGCCGACCTATCTTCAGGGCCATCGTTTGCCGCAGTCGTAGCCGTATCCGTAGTCGTATGAGTTCCACCCTCAGCAGCTCTGTCCGCCGCACCTATTCCCACGCCCACGCCCGTTAGAGTCTCCGCGATCGCACTCAACATTCTCGGTTGTCGTTTGTTTGTTTGTTTGCCTTTACTTTCTTTCCGGAAGATTATGATTCAGCGTCGTCGACGAATAGGTAGGTGCAGAAGTATAGTATGGTAGGTATTGTACATACATCGACATCCACCACCCGGGAAGTAGGTATGCATAGTAATTGTGAACGAATCCTCGACTAAGGAAGCCTCCCCCCCTATGACGAGTCGACAGTCGAGCACAAGGTAATTCGCGACGATGGTGGCATGGCTGGCTGGCGGGTGGGCGGTAGCAGGAGCCACCTAACTACCTGGAAGGTGATAGGTGATGTCATGCCAGGGATGACGTTGAGATGGGCGCAACAAGCGAGTGCGCCCATCCCTGCTGCGGGGTGCATGGTGATCTCAGCTCAACTCACGCTATGGTGGCTACCAGAGTTTGTACAATGCAATACGAACGAAGACTTTGGAAGGCATCGCAGGTCTGTTGATTTGCCATCGGAGACACAAAAGGACAGCTCACGGATGCGTTGGAGTGGGAGTGGGCGGGTACCGCCTTGGGATCCGGTGCCATTCACGAAGGAAAGTTAACCTCTGACTCGGTGCCATTCGTGAAGGGAAGGTAAAATTCGCCTTAGGATCCGCACCTAAACACTAAACACAAAACATCAAACACCCTTTCCTATGCTTGCGTACATGTAACATACTTTGGTGCTACTCGCCCTGTTTCCCCAAGACAGCACAGAGCACTCAAACAAAACACCAGACGTCCCATTCCCGTGTCGGCGTTATGTAGCTCCAGGCCTACCTACCTATCCCAGGCGCCGAAGACGGTACACACGAACAGAGCCCACCCAGCCCTAAGATCTCCGGACCGAACTTTCAGCCCAAGAATCAGAATCTCCACGTTGCAAACGCCGGAAAGCGAACAGAGAAGTTCACTACTCATCCAGCCATAGATGATGGTTCGTTCTGCACCTGCCTGCTGTTACCCGCGGTATGCTGGTACTGAGGTTATACTGAGGTGACAGGTCCACGCCTTGAGTCTTGACCGGTGCCGCGTGGCCACTGTCAAATGTAGAAGCTTCGAGTGCAACATGGGACAAAAGTGCACGATCAATGGGTGGAGGGGTGGGAATGGCTGCCTGGATGGCGTGTACCGTAGTTGCCGCAGTGGGCGTCCACGGGGTGGCGTGGCGTGCATTCCAACTTTGGATTCGGATCGCCGACTGTGCCTCGACGGCGGCTGTCCGGAGGAAAGGAAGGAAGGAAGGATGCGGAGTTCGTGGCGGTCGTGGGCTGGTTTCCTCCAGACATCGTGTACGGTACTTGTCTGTCTTTCCTTCCCATGTACAGCCCCAAGCTCCGAGGCTTTGACAGCCTGTCGATCGTAGGAACCCAACTAGCGAGACTTCTGTAGTGCTTCGAGTCCTGACATCCAGGCCGCTCAAGTTAGGCTTCAAGGCAGGCTTTATGGTAGGCTTCAAGGTATCTAGAGTATGACATAGCAAAGAAGCCAGGAAGGAAGGCCTCGAGGCTCGCTTATCTTGTCGATCTCCCGCCGCTACTCTACACAACAATCAACCATGCCTTTTTTTTTTGTTGGATAGCCGCCGTTGGTTTTCTAGAGTCCGTCGAGTTGTCCTCTCGCAAGCAGTCCCGGCGTCCCCGAAGCCCAAGTTCCCGACGCAGACGAAAACGCCCGAGGCGTTGAAATCTAGGTTGTGAGGTTTTAGTTCGATCTCAACCTTTACCATAGACTCGAGACCTCCCAGAGTCCCACGTACGTAGGCTACCTCCCGTCTCCGCTCCCGTCCAAACCCTACCTATCACACCCGGAAAAAGTCCCTCCCGTGATCGGTGTAGTCATGGTCCAAGCCCCCAAACCCAAGCCCAAACCCTAAGCCCGACATCCATCTGTATTTTGGAAGAAAACCCCATGCATTGCATTGCGCATGTGCCCGAACCTTCCCGCCCCAGGCGTGACTTTGTGGCGGAGGGAAGGGCCGCGCCTCCGGGAACCAGCCACGCGGCACAATACTCTATTAGTATATCCTAGGACTTAGGTAGCAGGCGCAAACTGCACGGTGGCATGTAATTATGCCCCGTTGTTGACGTTTTCCCCAGCGGAGTCCCCACTCATTCATTCATTCAAGGGTGGCGCCCATACCGTATTGTGGCAAATTACACCGCCACGGACCTCGGAGTTCAAGCACCGAGCTCCCGGCCACGGAACGAGGAATGTGGGCATTGGGGGATCGAGAGGGCGTTTAGCTTTCTGATGGTGGTTTCATGTTCTACGTCTGTGGATGCACACACTACCCGTGGGACGCTTCGGAGGACGGTCCCACCCGATGATTTGAATCGGGAGCCATCGATGCTGTCAGCTCCATCACCGACGACGGCGATCAATACATACCAACGCATCTCCCCCTGTGTGCAACGACGCGCAGACAGCAGACAGCACCGCACCGCCTGCGCCACTCCTGATGCTGCTGCGACGAAGCGATAGATCTACAGACTCGTACTCCGGTATCTTCCCGTCGTGCTCCTTCCTTATTCCTTCGCAAAAGCCAAGAAAGAAAGAATTCCGACAAGGCGGCGGAGGGGGATGGGGCATGGTTTGCGCCCTCCAAGATTCCTCCAAGGTTCCCCCCAGCAGCAAGGCACGGAGGGGCGGGATGCGGGAGTCCCCAGGGGCTGGTACTCTAGAGCACTCCACATACAGTAGGGGTACATACGTCGAGCTCTCCGGTGGGGGCAGTGAGCACTGGGGAGAGACGAAATGAAAGTCACGTGATTATGGGGGATTATGACGGCGACGAATGCCTCGGGATACAGATCCGAGACTCTCTCCGCCCCTCCCCCACCTCTCGATCAGCCACATGTACATACTTCATACTCTACATACATACCCGGCCGCTGTCAGTTCAACGGCCGGTGGTTCCCGCTACCTAGTTGGTTGGCTAAGGTGTGCCAATACATACCTCATGAGCTCAACTGGTGTCGGAAAAACGGCATTGGGTTTCGATGGCCAGCAGCCAGTTGCGAGATCTGTCCGTACCGCGTGGACTTCGGTCCCCTCGTGCCGTACTTCAGTACGGTTTCAGAGTGTCGGTGCGGAAGATATACATCAAACTCTTGCATTCCATGTCTTCTGTCTGAACTGTTTATATAACAAAAGTTTAAAACTTTCAACAACGGATCTCTTGGTTCTCGCATCGATGAAGAACGCAGCGAAATGGCAGTCGATACTCAATACCGGTAACTGGGTGTCGAGGATAGTCCAGGTTTCGAATGGTCTCACATTTTGGTCGATGTGCATTGCGGGGATGGCTCGTGGCCCATGGCCCGCGGGGTCATGTGGAACAACTACGTTCTCCGTCGGCCTGGCCATGGAATTCTAGACCGCCCCGCTTGGCTCCGCCGTGCTCCGCTGGGGCTCCGAAAGAGGGAAGAAGATCACAATGCGCCCGACTCCCGACTCCCAAGGAGCGGGTTACGACGGGTGCAGGAGCACGGCCTTCTCTGAAACGTAGGTGGGGTGCGCTGTGTCGTCACTCGGCGTGATCGCACATATCATCGGTGCCTACAGAGCAAGTGATGGCAGGAGGTGGCAACATTGGCAACATTGGCAAGAGATGGCAAGAGGTGCGGTTGGAATAGAGTTCTGCGTGTGGGTGTGTGGGCGCGTGCAGCTGCCGGATACAATACCGGAGACAATACCGGATCCAACACCGGGGGGAGAGAGAGTCGAGAATCGAGAGTCGAGGGTTAAGACAGAGCGAGCGCCGTCGGGCTGCTCTCTAGAGCTCAACCACGGTCATCGCTGGCTCACCCGCTCGCTCGCTCGCCCTACCGGTATGTACAATACATCCACCGTAGGACGTATCCAACAACGTGGACGATACGTCGATCGGGGGACGGGGAGCGTTTCAAATACCGGTACATACCGGTATGCCCATGTAGTTGTGTAGAGTACGCGGCAGTTTCAGCAACTGGTTTCCTGCTGTCCCATCCCATCCTACATACCATCCTGGTCTCGACGTGCGCGCACTGCAGTTCTTGTCTTGTCTTGTCTTGTCTTGTCGTGTCTTGTCCTGTCTTGTCCTGTCTTGTCCTGTCTTGTCCTGTCTTGCCCTGTCTTGTCTTGTCTTGCCCTGTCTTGTCTTGTCTTGCCATGTCGTTTCTGTTGTCCCATTCCCATGCGAGGCGAGGTGACTCAGGTGAGGTGAGGTGAGGTGAGGTGAGGTGAGGTGAGGTGAGGGAGTCGGGGACAGATACCGGTACGGAAACACCAAACCCAAGAGATGACCGTTTGCACCCGAGGGACTCCCCCCCTTCGAACTGAGGCTGAAGTATTCCCCCTTTCCCTCCCATTCCCTCCCATTCCCTCCCATTCCTCGCACTGCTTCAGGTCCAGGTATGTCCTCAGTACTCACATACCTACCGTTCACAACCCACTCGAAACAACAACGGCTCGAAAACGGAATCAAGATGTTTGCCCCCCATCCCCCCGTCCCCCCCGTCCCCCCCGTCCCCCCCGGGACCCCGGGAAGGCGGGTAGCGTAGGGATTACTCAATGGATAACACGATGACGTTTCGAGATGGTTCTACACATGCCACGGCGCTATCCGACAGTTACAGCATCGAGGATCCTGGACGGTCGCTTCCTCTGGAATTTAGCGGTTTTTTATAATTTTGTTTTTATTTAGCACTGAGCACATGCGACGTGCGTGCACTGCGTGGACGATGTCATCCTGACCGTCCCTTTCATGCAGGAGGAGTGGAAGGGGAGGATTGAGGTGAGGATGAAAGAAAGAGAGGATGAATGAACGAATGAATGAAAAGCAGGGAGGCAGGCGACGGAGCGAGCGGAGGGAGGGAAAGAGGCGCAGGCGATGGCGAAAGCGGGAGAAAGAAAACGCTCAAGCCTCAGCGCCCACTGCAGCCTTACATTGTGGCCGGCGGCGGCAACCTGCTGGGATGTCTTCTCACATCTTACGTGTGACTCTGGGGGCCGATATCGTTGATAGCACGGAGTAGAAGTCCGAGCCATGGTTGGCTGATTCGCAACGGGACGAGTGAGAGGCGCAAGGAGGGGGGGAGGGGGGGGGGGGGAGGGCGAAGTAGAGTACTTGATGGTTACAGTGGGGCGGCCGCAACTACGTACTTTGCGGGTCGCCGCATGCGGGACGTGTCTGTCTGTGTGTGTGTATGGCACTCTACTCTGATCTGGCTACCGGAACGTGTGGATTGCCCATGCGTCTGCGTGCACGTTCGATTTGACCCGAGACGATGCAGCCAGCAGGCAGCAGGGGGAAATCGAGTGAGTGAGTGGAGTTCTACTCTAGGAAAGTAGGAAGTAGGTGGGTGAATACCGGTACTCTACTCTATCGGTATCTCGCGTTGGGATGTTCCTCTCCGTGGCACGTACGGGTGGATGTGTGTGGTTGGCGACAAGTTCCGCCCGTTTGCGGCTATCGGGGAAGGGCTGTGATGGGCTGGGTTTCTGCGTGCTGCGTTGACAGGCAAGCTACGTCAGAGCTCTGGCTTTTGCTTTTGCTTTTGTTTTCCATTAGCGGCACATGTTGCCTGCACCACCTACCACCACCACTGCCACCACCGTGAATCCCATTCCCATTCGCATTCCCGTGGCCCTGCACGCACTGGCCCAGCGAGAACGAAAAGAAAAAAAAGTGACTGATGGATGGATCCGCGCTGCGCTCGTTCTCTCCCTGTCGCTTTCCCTCCACTCGGAGCTTGTCTGCCTTCCGCTCCTCGGCCTTCCTGCCTTCCTGTATTGTAATTGATCCTCCCCCATCTCCCGTCGAGCTCCTGCTACCATCGCCTCCCGTATGCAATATGACGGGCTACCACTGCTGCCACTGCTGCTGCTTCTGCTGCTGCTACTGCTGCTGCTACTGCTGCCGCCTCAACTCTCGCCTCCTCCTCTAGATAGATCCCGATTCGAATCTACTCGACACCCCGGTCCTCCGTATCTGCCTCTATCTCCCACTCATCCTCCTCCTCCTCCGCTCATAGGCTGTTTTCCAGAATAAGTACCTAGAGTACCTGCCGCACCAGCCTTGGCCTTGCTGTCCCGCTGCCCCTCTAGATATATCTTAAAACCCCTCCACACCTCCCCCATCCCCCTCATAGTCTCGGCATTCTCCCAGAAATATTCAGATCTAAACCCCCCCTCCGCCCTACCATACCAATCCCCCCACCAGTGTTCGCTTCCTGCCCCCTCCCAATTGACGCCATACCTCCCACGACGTGCCATCCAGAGCACCAACACCAAAAACACCCCCCACCTACCCCCCCACCCTCGACACGAACGCAACGAGACCACAGCATCGCGCTCTGTGCAGCATATAGCTCTCCTCTCAACCTTTAAACGCACGCTCGTACCGTATCTTTGAAAAAAAAGAAAAAAAAGTCTCCTCCGGTGATTTACATCGAACGACGTCATGACGACGACCTTTGTTGCGGCACTGTGAGTTTTTGGTGCTGCTGTGAGATCGAATGAATTCGCATGGACAAGTTCGTTGACCGATGTGCGTGTGCGTTGCTCCGATACCAGGCATCTGCCATACACGGTGCAGTTTCGCGCAAAGGACCGCTGCTGGTCGCCCAAGACCTTTCCGAGACAGCAGATCGCCACGATCCCCGAGGCCCGCCGTCCGACCGCTCTCCAGATCCCGCCCACAAACATCGAAATCGCCCAAGCCACACCGTACGATGTCCTCGCAACGCCCATGCCGAACCTCCTCCAGAGCCTCGGCCACAATTCGATTGCGACCGCGCATGCTACCAGTCCGACGCCGCCGATGACGCCGGTGACGCCCGGCGGCGAGGAACTGTTCTTTAGGATACACGGTTCCGGTTCCGAGGGTGTCCCGTTGGGTTCTCCCAGTGACCCCTCGTTCGTGCCCCGCAAGGTGGTAGTGCCGAAACTTGCTGGTGCGCGCCCGAAAGCCACCCCGTTCATCCCTGTCGATATGGATAGTGGCGGCAGCGAGAGGAGCGCCGAAGGCTACTTTGCCATTCCGACGGCGGAGCGACGGACGTCGAGGCGTAGATCGTCGGCGTCCGGCTCGTCGCACTCCGAGGAGGAGGAGTGGACCATCGTAAAGACGGATTTCGGAAACGGCGGGCTCAAGAACGCCGTCGAGGCGTCGCCTGACCCCTCGGAGAAGGTTTACGTTGGCACGCTGGGCTTCGGTACCGACGGACTGGACGAGTCGACTAAAGTTGCCATCGAGGGGAGCTTGCGCGATAACCATGAGTGCTTGGTCGCTTACACGAGCGATGCCGACTTTGACGGTCATTACAATCATTACTGCAAGGAGGTTCGTTCTCATCACCTCTGGGACCACCGGGGAACGCTCGGCTGACTCATCGAATATAGATTCTGTGGCCCGTCTTTCATTACCTGATTCCGGATCACCCCAAGAGCAAGTGAGTTATTTTTTTCCCCCATCTGTGGTGCCTTTTCTCTCTCTCGTGGGAATGTTCCTGACCGGATGAGCGCGCAGGGCTTTCTTGGATCACTCGTGGAAATACTTTGAGGCCTTGAACCGGTCCATCGCGGACGTGATCGTCAAGGACTACAAGAAGGGCGATACAGTATGGGTCAACGACTACCATCTGCTGCTCGTTCCCAAGATGGTTAGGGATGCGCTTGGGCCGGATGCGAAGATTGGATTCTTCCTGCACGTCGGCTTCCCTTCGTCGGAGATCTTCCGCTGTCTTGCGCACCGCGAGAAGCTTCTCGAGGGTATTCTTGGCGCTACATTGGTTGGCTTCCAGACCGACGAATACGCTCGCCATTTCCTGCAGACTTGCAGTCGTCTCCTCAACGTTGAGGTCAAGAACGACGGTGTTCTTTTGGATTCTCGGCTCGTGGACGTCATCAGCCTGCCGATCGGCATCGATCCTGTGCAGCTGGATGAGAAGAGGAAGGAATCCGAGGTGGCCGACTGGACAGTGCAGTTGCGCCAGAGATACGCCGGCAAGAAACTTTTTGTTGCGAGAGATAAGGTGGGTCGTTCCCTCCGTAGCAGCCGCGACCGAACTTTCCCTGACTGAGTGGTATCTAGTTGGATGGTGTGAGGGGTGTGAAACAGAAGTTATTAGCGTATGAACTCTTCTTGAAGAAGAATCCGGAGTATGTTGGCAAGGTATGTTTTGGCCCATATACATCCAGTGCCCGTGGGGGGATACAGCTGTCTGACCGGAAGTCCTAGGTGGTTCTGATCCAAGTCGCGTTGACGACGTCTTCGATAATCGAGTCTCAATCCACGGTTTCAGATATCGTCACTCGTATCAATTGCGCCTACGCGACACTGGATTACCAACCGGTGGTGTACCTGCACCAGGACATAACCTACCATCAGTACATTGCCCTCCTCCAGATCGCAGACGCACTGGTGGTCACAAGTCTCCGCGACGGCATGAACTTGACAAGTCACGAATTCGTGTACCTGCAGGATAAGAATCACGCACCACTGATCCTGAGCGAGTTTACCGGAAGTGCCTCCGTGTTCAACGGTGCCGAGATCTCGGTCAACCCGTGGGACCACAGCATGTGCGCTGCCGCCCTGCTGCATGCCCTCACCATGTCGGAAGAGGAGAAGACACAGAGATGGGAGAGGCTCTACAAGGCGGTGACCGGACATACAGCTGCTCACTGGTTCACTGAATTCCTGGGTAAGCTGGATAATTCATGGGAGGAACAGCAACGTCGCGGAAGCGCTCAGATCCCTAGGCTTTCCACTAAATTGCTTGCCGACAAATATCAGAAGTCCAGGAAGAGGGTGTTCTTCCTGCAATACGAGGGCACCCTTGTGTCGTGGGGTGGGAATAGCACCGTGGTTACCAGCCCGCAACGCATCCTGGATACCGTCAACGACCTGCTCGAAGATCCCACGAACGTCGTGTACGTCATGAGCTCGAGGCCCCCCCAACACCTGGAACAGATATTCCTGCGAGTTCCCGGAGTCGGCTTGATCGCGGAAGGAGGTTGCTTCCTGCGCCCATTCGGCGACGATGAGTGGGTCCGCCTCGCCGACGACGATCTCCCCTGGCGGGACAGCGTGCGTGACATCCTCGACTACTACATGGAGCGCACACCCGGCACATGGGTCGAAGAGCGCAACTGCACATACATCTGGCACCACGAGAAAGCCGAGGACTCGCTCATGGCATCCCGACAGGCCGGTGACTGCTGCAACCACGTCAACGACTCTTGCGAGAATTTCTCGGTGCACGCAATCCCGATCACCGGCGGTGTTCTCGTCGAGAACAAGCAGTGGAACAAGGCGAATGCGTGCCGCGAAGTCATCCAGCTTATCAAATCGAGGAATTGGCATGTCGACTTCATCATGGTCGCTGGAAACGGCCGCGACGATGAGGAGGTCTATGAGTGGGCCAATAAGTTTGCCGAAGACGAGGGGATCGAGAACGTCACCACCGTCCGTGTGGGCACTGGACATACCTCGGCGAATGCTACGACCACGGGTGTTGCCGGTGAGTTCTACTTCTTGAATTGATGTGATGTATATGGACACGATGCTGACTGTATACAGGTGTGTTATCGGCACTGCAGAGAATTGCCACACTCTCCGTCGCCGAGTCCAGATAATCGCTATGATGAGAATTTTTTCACGATGTTCGATGTGCGATGTGCGATGTGCGATGTGCGATGTGCGATGATGATGATGATGATTATGCTGATGATGGGATGGGATGGGATGGGACGGGATGGGCTATCTGTATCTCCTTTACATTTTTTGTTTTCCGTTTCTTCTTTCTGCATGTTTGCGATGAACTAGGGGCTGGCTTCTCTCGTTGTCTGTCACCTAACTCACTTACTTACTATATGTCGTTTCTATCATACTCTACCACGGTGTTTTGTCTTTATGTCGTTTGTTTGGTTGGTTTCGCTGCGTGATGGTGGTGGTGGTGGTGGTGGTGGTGGTGGTGGGTGGGAAATTGGATTGGATGTAACTGGCTGGTTGGTTAACTGGGGCTTCGAACTGTGTTTTTCGCTTTGTCTTGGTCTTTTATTGTTGTTGTGGTTCCAGTGTAATGTACGATGTGTGTAATTACTTCTTCGGTACTTTCCTAGGTTGGTAGGTAGGACTCGGGAGCTTGCTTAAATACTTCTGGCTTGCTTGCTTGATTATTAGATATCATGGATGAGAGGATACGGTTTTTCTCCTGAGTCTGGAGGCTGGAGTCCGGAGTCTGAGTCTGGCCGCGCAAGATAGTGACAGACGGGACGTTGGACTTGCGGTGATGTGATGTGTACCAGTGCCATTGTGCCGTTGTGATAAAGATCTGGCTATGTAACATAAGGTGATTCTCGACGTGAAGGTAAGGCAAGGCAGGACGTTGGCAGCGATCTATGCAACAGACAGTCCGAAGTCCAGACTCCTTCCCATAGGTACGGTCATATATTCGAGTGATACATAGGAACAATATACCATCGCTCATACGCCTTATGAAGTTATATCATATGACCTGACCAGAGTACGACCTGATTACGAGTTCGTGGGACCGGTGGTGCCACCGTGCCGACGGGGCGGGTGGAATGATATCAGAGAACCAAATGAGTGACCGAAGTCTGAGCGAATTCGAGTTCGCATGTGAAGGGCTGCTTTTGGGCTGGACATAGTGGTTTTTTTTGGGCTGCATAGTGTTTTACTTTGGTGGGGTGGTGGGACGGTGGATGGTGGGATGGTCACTGGCGGGGTGAAGGGGTGGTGGGGTGGGATCGCGAGGACGCCAATGGTCAATGGTCATACCTATATGATAGGAATAGCTGGCATGTGAAAGTGCCTTGCGGACAGGTAGGCGGATAAGTAGGCAGACGGGTATGCAGACAAGCAGGCTGCTCGATGAGTCGGTGGCCATGGGGCTGGTCGGGTCGGGGTATACCGTATGTACCACGTGTAAATCGTTGTCACCGAAGGTCGGAGGGCCTGGGGCTGGTGGATTTTGGGCTAGTGGGTTTTGGGCTGGTGCCTGGTAGGATAATTCCTCTCGTACCTAGTACCTTATGTACCTGGTATCCTGTCGATTGCAGTACATACGGGTAGGTACTAGGTACCGTATTCCGCCACCCTCCGCGCCCTATGTATAATGTAGGTACCGTACGTACGACTCGCAGACCCTCCAACAGTTAGTCAGTTGAAACAGGAACACTGGTTTAAACAGTTCAGTTCATTTCTGGTTGATTTCGTTCCCGGTTGAGGTGGGAACAGAGGTTGTCACTGTCAGTTGGTTCAGGTATTTCTGGCAGTTGTAACTTGTTCCGGGGAATACTGGCAGAACTGTCAGTTCGGCAGATGAACTTCTAGTTCAACCAGCTCAACCAGGGCAGCCAAAGTGAGCCAGATAGGCTCCTATTGTTACGGAAAACGCGATGGAAAACGGGTTCAGTACTGATTTTGAATTACTACTCTGCTCTGCTGCTACCTACCTACCCATGATTGGAATTTGGAGTACGGCGGTTGAACCTCTTGATATGTACTCTCCAGAGCTCCAACACTCTCGGTACGTACCTAGGGAATACCGACGATCCGTCAGAACCGTCTGGCACTCGGAGAACAGCCGTTCAACCTCATGTCCTCAGCCGACATGGCTGGAATAGACAGAATGTCTATGGCCATTCGGCCGAGGTTGGAAAACGACGTTGCTACGGGCCTACGGCGGTTCTATGTAGCCACCATGCACTCGCGGCAGGACTGTTTTGAACATTCCTTTCCACGGGCAATGAAAAATAATGTTGCAGCTCGACAACTGGCGCTGCGACCTGTAAATACATGGTAGCAGCGACAGCTATAGGTGGTGGGTTGTAGCCTTAGGCGGCTGGCCGGTGGCTTTGTGGTATATAGCGACGAGTTTATCGAGCCCAAAATGTTTTAAGCCTCGCTGAACTGTTAGGCCAAGCAGTTTTCCCAGTTCAAAACAGGCCAGTTGGATCAGTTTGGCAGTTGGTTGGTTCAGTTCACTACCCTCCAACAGTTAGTTAGTCCGGGACCACCCCCAGTTTGTTCCCAGAATTCGAACTGTTGGAGGGTCTGCGTACGAGTGCACGTCCAGCGCTGCTCGAGCTGGTGATGTATGCTACTGGTACTACCAGTACCTATTATGAGTACCAACCAGCCTCCCCACCAGCCAAACCCCAATCCCGAGGCTAAAAACTTCAATGTTCGAACACACTGTCTTAGTCTGTCTTGTCTGTCCTATCGGTCCGTCGGGGTGGAGGGGTGGAGGGGTGAAGAGTAGAGCTATGAAGAACCAACCCCGAACCAACCCCGACCACATGCATCTCGCTGGCCCAGTATGCCGTGAGCAATTCTTTTCCTATAGACTGGAATGCGCGGTTCTAGCTTTCAACTTCCAACCCGTTCGGCGGGCTATGTAGGTCTCGTTTCTGTGCAACAGATCCTCGATGCGCCGGGGGGTCGGCTGGGTCGGCTGAACTTGGTGTCTGGGTGGTTTCACGGGTCAGGACGCTGGGCGCGGGGCGCGTAAAGTACCTGGGTACCATGTGTTTGACGAACGCGGTAGTGGGGTGTAGATTGGCGCGCTGCATAAGGCAAAAAGAAAGAAGCAAAGCTACCCTTCCCTTCCCTTTCCTTCCCTTATTACAGAACAGATTGCACGTTACGAAAGTACATAGTGCAGTGTTCGTTGTCTACATCCACGTGACCCCACAGCGCGTAACTCCACGAAGTTACGAACTCCTCGGCTCGTCGTCTCAAGGTTTCGCGGCTCGCCTGTCCACCTTGGCAGTCCCGTGTCCAGTGTCCAGTGTCCAGTGTCCACACCACACCACAGCACACATCATAGCGCAAACTGCCGCCACCAGGCCCACTACCCCACGACACCCCACGACACCACCTACTCTACGCGTATCGCCGTATCCCCGTATTCCCGTATCCCCGTATCCCAATCCAATTGCACACCTCGCACCCACCCCACCCCACCCCACCCACATACAACCACAACGATACACCAACACAATGCCGCAGTTCACGAAAAAGCACCGGACAGCCGCACATTCCGACACCGCGTCGGATACGGGCGACGAGTCGCCGCAGCCGCCGCAGAAGAAGGCGCGGTCGATATCGCCCGCACCTGCACCTGCGCCCAAGAAGAAGGGCGGCAGGCCGATGTTTAATCGCGTGCCGCTCAGGAAAGCGTCGGCTACGTCTACGGCTACGGCTACGGAGAATGCGGGAAAGGGAGAGGGGAAGAAGGAGGACGCGGATGATCTGCTGGGATTCTTTCACCGCGCAAGGGGTACGGCGATGGAGATCAGTGATGACGAGGATGAGGACGTGACGGTGAGGAGAAGGGGGAAGGAGGAGGTGAAGGAGAAGGCATCGGGCAAAGCGAAGAAAGAGAAGAAGGAGAAGAAAGAGGGCAGCGAAGAGGGCAGCGAAGAGGCGGTGTCGATGCACAGTAGCGACGAGGAGATTCGAAGACGCGATAAGGGACGGCTGAAGGACCGGTATGTTCGGTTCTCCGGGGGTGCAGGGTGGGAGGATGCGACTGACATACAGGCGCAGGTTCGCAAAGAAGAAGAAGGAGCTGGAAGCGTCGAAGGCGAAGGCAAAGGCCGACTCCGAGCGGAAATTACCACCACCGCCGCTGGGCCACGGTGTCATCTCGATATCGCCCACGCCGTCACCGGAACCGGAGTTTCACTTTAGCCCTCCTCCCGCTCCTCCCGCTCCACTACCGGTGCTCCGGCGCACCACCACTCCTGCGCCACCGCCACCAGTCGAGCCGCCAGCGCCCGTAGTCAACATCCTGATCTCGTCGCCGATCGAGGGCGCGAGGCCGTTGATCGTCATGCGGCGCATGGACCAGACGCTGAAGGAGCCGCGGCTACACTGGTGTCGCGCGCAAGGCTACGGCCCGGAGGAAACCGCGTCGGTGTTTCTGGTGTGGAAGAAGCGTCTCCGGATCAGGGACGGGACCAGCTGCAAGGGCATCGGCGTCAAGATCGAACAGCTGAATAGTATGTTCGAGGAGGACGGCATCAGCAAGGGGAACGTGCACTTCGAGGCCATGACCGAGGAGATCTTCGAGAATGTCCGGAGGGGACTCCCGCCGAATGGGATTCCGGTACGGGAGGAGGAGCAGGACGACGAGGATGATGAGGATCAGCCTCAGATCATGTTGAAATTGCAGGCTGGTGGCAGGAAGGAGGAGGCTCTCGAGATCAAAGTTAGAGAGGTGGGTTTTACCTCCCGGGAGTGACGGTGGTGCGGGTCGCGGAAGTCGTCGAATTGCTAACGTGTGGTAGTCGACTACTGTTGCGTTTCTCGTCGATGAGTATAGGAAGGGTCGCAATGTCGATCCCGGCAAGGGGATTAGGTTGAAGTTCGAAGGAGATTACCTTGATCCCGAGGATAGAGTCGGTGATACCGATCTCGAGGACGAATGCATGGTCGATGTCATCATCGGATAAGACTGGAAAGGGTTTGACTGCTATCACTTGGACTGGCATATTTGGATATTCCTTTAGTTCAGCTATCTCTACTGCATTTCGGCCGGCATACCATTTGCATCTATTCCTCTTCTTCGCTTCATGTGTATCCTTTAGCGCATATTAATACATACCACCTGCGTTCTCCCTTCCTTACCCACTCATCGCTGCTGCCACTATTTACATTGGAGCACCAACCAATAACATGTATACTAACTCAATCCGCAACCTCTTATCGTATGATACCCCTCCAAAAAAAAACGCCATAACCAGAGCAAAACGAATAAACTCCATGACCATGCAATGCCCGTAACAAAAGGTAAAAAAAAAGGGGAAATTATTGGGCCGTTTCGGTCTAAACTCTTGACGCGGAGGTAAGTCCGTTCTCACTGCTACCGCTCGTCGCTTGAGCCTGCTGTATGTCGTGGCGCGCCTCCCGCATGTCGTGCCGCACCTCCTCCTTCGTCCGAGCCGTCGGCCGCAAGTCGAAAAAGAACGAGAGGACGTAGAACGTGAAGACGAACGCGATTACTATCACCGGACCTTCAGCAAAATGCAGCAAGAGAAAGATGGAGGGAAGGAACTTACACCACTCGAGAATGGCGGCGGTATCATGAAGCTTCCTATACATCGTGACGCCGAACGCAACGCTGAGCGCGACCTCGACAATGACGATGCCCTGCTTGAACCTATAGCTGCGGCCCAGCATCGGGTGCTGTGTAAACGTCCTTCCCAGGCGTCTATACTCAATCGTCGTGAACAGGGCGCTGAGGACGACACCGAGCATAAATAGGAAGAGGAACAACCTATGAAGGCTAGGATGTCTCTGAGTATCGAAGACCGCGAGGAGGATGAGACAGACTGCGCCGAGCAGCCCCGCGAGCAGCGAGAGCATGTCGAGTGTCCGCTCCAGCCGCCGGATCAGCGCGTGGTTGCGCCGCATCGAGAGCAACGACGCGAAGAAGAATATCCCCGTCAGCGAACTCCCGGTCACGAACAGCGGCTTCAGCACGTCCGCGCCGATGTCGGAGATGTACGCGATCCGCTGCCGGCCGGCCATAGAGGCGTACTTTGGCTGCCCCTGCGCAAGCCATACGATTATCATCACCCAGAGCATGCCTGGCAGAGGATGTGTCAGCATTCGTACAAGGGAAGAGGTGTTAGGAGGGGGGTGACGACTCACCAAACCAGAAAAAGCCAGACAGCAGCGGGAAAATCCAGTACGGGAAGTGTTTTGCCACTTCGCGGACCCGGCTGCTAACCGTGTCTATTCGGGAGAGTGGCGTGCGCTCTTCGTCCGGCGGCGGCCCGGCGGCACCTTCTTCCTGCATGGCGGTGGTGTTTTGCATCTTTGGTGTAGCGAGGAGGAGTCGGGGTAAGGGAGGAGCGAGGAGGTTCGTGTATGTGTGAGTGTTGACGGCAAGTTGCAACAATAGTTACCGACAGACAAGCAAACGAAAGGCGGGTTTTTGACAGTTTGACAGTTAGTTAAGGGGTGTGGTCTGCGAGGTGTCGTGGTTTAATAACACCCAGTCCAGTGCAGTGCAGTCCAGTGCAGTCGAGAAGACTCGACGCAAGACGGAATCGGCTCGAAGATGACGTAGACTCGACATACGCCTATGCACATGCAGCCAACGGGAAGGGAACAAGCCACGATCCCGGATCTCGGATGGTGCTGTTGCCGGGGTGAAACATGCACTAATCTCCGAAAACTCCGCCGGCGTTCCGAGACCGTGAGGTGAGTGACGAGACAGCGAGCTTGAGTTTTTTCTGCTTTCTTTTGTTTTTCTCGCACAAGAGAAGACCGGACAGATGCTAACGCCGGAGACGCGTCGCTTCATGGCTGTGTGTACTCTACGGCGTCGGAGTCGGAGTCGTATGTACGGTACGGTTCTACCTGCGGAACAGCACAGCACACGTACGTACTCTGGAGAGGCACACGAGCAGAGCTAGGCCGATTTCCCGCACACACATGTCACACATAGCCTCCTCGGCCCCCTTGTCCGGCCCAACCATGGATCCGGTCGGGGACAGCACAGCGCAGGATCGTGAAATTTGCGGATCACCATCAGACGAAAAATATTAGACGGGCGATCACGGCCTTTCCCGAAACAGAGCGGATATATACGTACAATACTTTGAAGGTATGGTCGACGGCTGGTACCGATATGTACAATACATAGAGCATGTACCTGGCATCTGCGGCTTCGGCGCTCCTGACAGCTACATACATATCTACAGGCTCCAGGGTGGTTGCAAGCCACCGACATCGAAATAAGCTTCATTACTCGAGCCCTGGGGATGCACCTATCATATCAGCCCTTCCCCGGTACGTAACTACTAGGTATATACATAGTATTGCACATCACGATTCTACATCGCCCATGGTACTATGTATAGTCCCTGGTGCCCTCGTCTGCTGCGCATGCATTTATGGTACCCAGGTAGGGCATGGCCCATTCTGCCTGCAGCACCGAGTACCTAGAGCATCGAAATCTTCATTCACGATCAGTTACATAGGCCCGAGGGGGAGGGTATGTACAGTACTTCTAGCATGAAGAAGACGCACGATGGACGCCACACACCGTAATTCCCTCTGCTCAAATTGCCTCACCAATGCTCATTCGCAATAGTTACCAAGACTCAGAGTATCCACTTCCAAGCCGCCATTCACACCCCCCAATCCCCCCCTCCCGTTCGCTGCCGAGTCCCATCCACAGTCTCCTATGTATGCCGGTGATGGTAGGTATGCAAGTACTCTATTCTACTTTACTGTGCTATGCACACGGTAGTCAACCACGGCCATAGCCATAGCCACTTCCGCCGAGTACTTCCGCCGAGTACGACGACAACGACGCCGACGGCAATAACGACAAGCTCGAGGCGGAGCGTCGGAGCGTCGCCAGTGCCAGTGCCAGTGCCAGTGCCAGTGCCAGTAACTAGACACCTCCAGGAGTGCCGTATGTACGTACAAGTATGTACCCAATGTTAGGTTACCAGTATACCGTAAGTACACCACGAACCCCCCCGCCACCCCTTTGCCACTCCATCCATCTGTTTACTAGTAGTGGAGCGCGCATTGTGCCGAAAATGCGCCTCGTGTCTAGACTCTGGTCCCGGCGAACCGCCGACGGGTGCTCTGCTGCCTACCTATCATTGTTCCGCCAAGTCGTCGACGTCGATGGCGATGATGTTTACCGGGCTGTGCTGCAGCGACATACCGGTATGCATGTGTGTAATCCCGAGACCTACTACGTACCCACAGCCGTTCGGGCTCGGGCTAACGACGTTAACGCGGAGGACAACGCCGATGTGAGCCGATTGACGGTTACAGGGCACCACAGGACACCCTATGTCTCGGCGCATCACATCGTCACATCGTTACTTCCCCAGGCAACTGCCAACACCCGTACAATATATACGGAAATAAATCCACAAACACGCTTACGTACTCCGACATATATGAAGTTATGAACACCTTGCCAGCCAACCAGCCAGCCAGCCAGTCAGCCAGCCAGCCAGCCATCAACATCATCATCTGCATCACAAGCTCAAGCTCAAGTTTCAATTGCATACTTTGGTCTCGATTCGGCGCATAGCCACAGGTACTTCTTTCAAGTTTGTATCTCTCCGAGCTAGGTAACCTCAACACCATACCATACCATCCATCCAAAAAACGAACGAAATAAGGGACAAAACCAAAAAAAGAAAGAAAAAAAGAGAAAGAGAAAGAAGGTAAAATGAAGAACCTCTATGCGAAGGGCAAAGGTATTGAAGAAGAAAGGAAGGTGGGGGGACGATATTCACAGTAAAGGGAAAAAAGGTGGTGGTAAGAAAACTTCGAAGGTAAAGGAACGGAAAAGAAGGAAGGGTTGCGACAATAAGCTGAATGTACAGGAACGGGAGAAAATAATTGTGCCTTCCATGTCGCCAGAACCAACGGCCGGCTCTAGTTATACGTCAAATTCTAGGACTGACGGACGAGTGAGCGACTGAGGATGCAGGCAAAGAGACATGCGGGAAAAACCAACCCGCAATACTCAGATGCCGACGGGCATGCGGCTCAAGGCGAGGTGGAACAAGTCGTGCATGGCGTACCAGTGGAACAGGATTCCACAGACAACCATGCAGTGGAAGATGTTATGGGAGCCACCGACCAAGTCGAAGCAGCCGGGGTACCATCTCTCGGGGATCTGAAGAGCGTAGAAGATAGCGCCGATGAGGTACACGAGCACGCTCTTGAGCACGGGTGCGTAAAAGAGGCCGACCCACGCCGGGCCCCTAGTCAAGCACAGCTGGATCATGGGGAAGGCGCCGGTGGCTCCGAGTGTGAGGTAGAATGCGACTCGGTAGACTCGCATGTCCGCTCGGTTGAAGATGGGCCGCCATGGCAGGATTACGCCTGCGATGCCAAAGAGACACGTCGCCGTCATGTAGATCCACCGGCTCACGGGCTCGTGGTAGAAGGCGGTGTATTCGGTTGTCATGATGCTCACTGCGATCAGCAGCGAGATACCCGAGTAGTCGACGCACGCGAAGCGCTCCATCACATCCTGGTGCGCGATCGCCGCGAAGGTGTGCCAGATGGCGCTGCAAGCCATAGCCTTAGCCGCGGCGAGGAAGAACAGTCCGTTGATGAGCTTGTCCGCGGTGGTGTGGTAGTGGAACATTTGCGACGTGGGGTAGAAGTAGAAGGCGATCGCGAGGACCATGAAGAAGCCCAGGCCGTGCGACCAGATGTTGCAAGTCTCGTTGCTGAACGAACAGAACACCGACTTGACGCACTCGACCTTGCTCTCGGTGAACCTGTAGCCGTCGAGGATGTGCGGGTTGACCCTCCACGGCACTGGCAGCTCCTCGTACGTGATCAACCTCCGCTCCTTCGCCAGCGCGATGGCCCGCTCGATCGAAACCGAAAGCATATCCCTTGCGCCTGCGACCGCCTCCATCCCGCGCCTGGCGCGATCGAGCTTCCTGTCTAGACTCGCCTGTGCCCGCGCCTCAAAATCCTCCAGCAGTTCATCCAGAAAGTGCACGCTGGCCGCGACCTTGCCGGGCAGTGTATCCTTAGCCTCCAATGCCTCGTGGTACCGCGATTCGAGAATGTCGACAATGGCCTTGGCTCGCCGTTTGCCCTCGTCGATCACCTCTCCTCCCATGCGCCCGCACTCCAGTCGCACATCCTGCAGTGTACTCCACGCGCGCTCGATGCCCTGGTCGAACTTGAGGTTGCCGTATTTCTCGAGATGGTCCAGCCGCTGCTCCAGCTCGGTGAGGAAGTGGTCGACCTGGAGATGGTACACCATGTCAGCCATTGTTTTTTGTTTGTCGTGTGCGCGTGCGTGGGTGCGCGGGTGCGTGTCGCGGTTGCACTGTAGCTTGCGACCGGGGGGAGGGGGGGAGGGGGAGGGGGAGCCGTAGACCATACTTTCAACAGCAAATCCGATTCGCCCTCCAGATAATCTATGGTGGAGAGCTGTCGAGAGTGTTTCCTGCGATACTTGACCTTTCTCTGCGGCTGAACATCAGTGTCGTCGCGTTCCCAGGTGTTGACCAGTCCTGCCGAACCGGTGCAGGCGGCCATGATGATTGTAGACTGTGTCGAAGTGCGAATAAATGTGTATGTTAATGGTTCTTGTTCGAGGGATGCAAGGGATGTGGAGGGAATCGTTGTTCGAGCGAGGTGTTGATATGTGCTGGCACAGGTGGGTGTACAAGTGTACAGGTGTACAAGTGTAGGTACAAGTGGGAGCTGCGAGGTACAAGATCGTGACAGTAGCGACAACGACAATGGTCCCTTTTCAGGGAGGGAGAGGGGCGACGGCTGGCGATATATGAGGGAAGTGTAGCCGCAAGTGGGTTCGAGAAGAAAATGAAAAGCCGGTGCTAAGATACTTTGGTAAGTATCGTTTCCCCGGGACTATTGTAAGGAGTGACGGCCGAGGGAAAGCGGCGGAGAGGAGGAGGAGGTAGAGTGGGAAGAAGCAAAGTGGGTACTCAAGGAGGGTTCTCGGAACAAGGAGACGCTGCACTCGTAATTGCCTGCCTTTAGATATGATTCCAAATTCCAGAACATGCGCCCTGGCCATGGCTGATTGATGATTTTGCCGCCCTTTTCTCGCTTCAATTCAACCGTCAGTTATGTTGTACACACATACACAAATACACAAATACACAATTACAGCGTCCACACTCTGCACGGATTCCGGTTCTAAACGCTCAGTTCTCACCGCCCTGGGGCGTACATACTCCACATCCACCCACGGAAGCTGCTGCGGGATCCCAGGCGTCTCTTTGGCCAGGTTTTTCTCCGTTTCGATAGTGGCGGATTGCTGTCTCTGGATCTAATGTAAATCCCTAGCATCTGCATGCAGGGACGGATGGTCCACGCACCCCCCTCTCCGACTCTTGATTCCTCAACAGAAAAAATCTGGAGTTGAGTTCCCCCATAACGGTCTCGTTTCGTCTCATCCGCAGACAGGAGGAGGCGGCGGAGGGGGGGAGAGTGGTTTGTTCTTTTTGTTTAAATCGCCATCACGCCCCCAAGTTCGTCTGCCCTCATGCTCGGCTGGCGATCGGTAACTATAGTACGCACTGTATCGCACTGGTTTCACTCTGCAGAGAAGCTCGGATCTATCACACGCAAGCAGGAAGTAAGACCGCCGAAACGAGCCAACGAAAGGCACCACCTGACCCGCGTTCCCAGTCGCCCAGTTCATGCGTTTTCGTCTCTCCGTCGAACCGAGCTTGCCGACTGGATCACTCAACCACTCACTGGGTATCACGTAGCCATGACCAACACTCCCCTCCCCCCGCGCGCCGCGGATCTGCCCCACGGCGCGGCACGGCGCGGCGCGACCATGATACCCATACATTCCGTTCGCTCGTCATCCAAAACGCATCGGCACATGCACTCAGCGTCACCGCGATACCTACCCATCATTGATTAAAATTGACAGCACGCCAGCGGCGACTGACGTATCGGATCCTTCGGAGTCGCTCCACGCCAACGCTGACCACCGCCAGAGGTCCTGGAACTGTGATTCTTTCGTTCGTTGGGCTTCACCGAGAGCGCTCGGTAGATACCTGCCTGCCTGTCTACATACCTTCCTACCTCTCTACCTACTCACCTATCCCGCTGCCCAGCTGCCTCCCCAGAGCTTACATACGCGACGATAATAAATCCCTATGTAGGCGACATGCACGTCCAAACTCCACTGTCCATTATCCACCACCCTCGAGCCAAATTGAGTATTGCAGCATGTATGTATGATACTCACATACTTATCGCGCATATATTGACCATGGGGGCCGTAAGCCCGCAGTGCAGCGGGCGTGGGATGCGGGGTGCTCGCTCGGCACCGCACTCATCCATCCAGCGCAACTGATCGCGCCGAGAAATGTTGCGGGCCGAGGTGCCGGCTTTGAAGTCACTGCGTATCACTCAGGCTATAGATATACAGCCAAGGCATCGATCGGAACTTGAGTCGGGGTTGGCGGTTAGTTTGGCGTTGGCATGGTAGATATTGGCATTGGCATGAAACAACCGGTTTCTGCTGGCTTTGGAGGATGGATTCTGGAATTTGGATGGGCTTCTGCATATATGCGTGCAACGTGCGTCCCCGGAGCAGAGACGAGGGAGGAGGGAGGAGGGAGGAGGGCCTTCCCTTATTGGATACTGCCCATGCCCCACCTCTTCCATGATGCCCAGCCAGCTCGTTAGTTACATGAGGGGTATATGTAGGCAAGGTGGGGATCCATCGGAATTAGCGGCCAGACCAGATTCCAGAGCAGGTTCCATCGAAAGTCCCAAGCGGACTGCTCTTCCGCTATGTAGCTAAAAGCGAAGAAAGATTCCTCCACTTCTTTTGCGGTTAAAACGATAGAGGAACTTCTGTAGAGAATGTGGCCGGAACTCCGGAAGTAGGTATGAATGGTGACAGTAGCAATACATACAACAAGTTACCTTGAGGCCGTCACGCAAATTCAGCAGTCTCTCAAAACCCCACCCCCACCGCAGAGGACTGCACTCCGACTTGAACGGCAACACAGCCCTACCATGAGCTGGTGGAGGAAATATCCCGCCTCCTGTTGTCAATGAAAGTTCCCCATGCGCTGCAATAGGTATAATCGCCCTCCCTCCCGACCTAATAGCCTGATCGAGAACAATATTCCGACTCTTCAAGCATTATCATACGTTATCACTCTTAGCCACCGAACGACCCCTCTGATCAACACTCGAGCAGGGACTAACATTGATCCCAACGTCTCTGGCTTGGTGGTAATGCAATCGATTTGACTTTGATTAGTTGCAAGAATACTATCCATTTCCAACTGAGAGGGACTAGGTATCATGACAGCTGCCAGCATAGCCGCTATTGCGCGGTGGTCTGAACAACGTCAGAGTCGGCGTTCTCCCAACCTTCAAAGTTCACCACACGGCACTTGGTTTACTGTCCATTCCTGTCATTCCTGCTGGTATTGAGCAGCTCTTTTCAGAATATAAGATCAAATGGTTCAATCGTCGGGTGTATTGATAATCTGATAAAACATGTTTCTGTTTCCACTGAAGGCTGAAGCCTTGCTGTTGTCGCGAAATCCTTGACATATATCGATGTACCGGTATCTTCCCTTGATCGAGCAATTGATTCGCCTCTAAGTTGCTGCAACCTGCAACCATAGCCTCCGCGCCTCCTGTTCCTGCCTCATTCACTCGTGGCCTCCTCTTTCCACATCCTCTCACTTGCCCCACCCGCCCTTTGGATTTGCAAATGCCAGAGTTGGCAGTTTGTTATGTAGTTAGCCTGGAACAAAATCAGAGAAATCTAACCACTTGGGAATCCGACCGCCGTTGAACCACTTGAAATGTATCCAATTCTCATTCAAGCCGAATATTTTACTCGATTTTCCCAGTCCAACCGCACAAGTTACAATTGTTGGGGGGTGGGGGTCTGCTCTAGGTAATCGAGGAAATATCCCCTACGATTACCTGGCATGTCCTCAGTCCGCTCTGCGCTGCCAGCACACCGCAAATTCTTCATACCATCCTCCCTCGATACCTCGGCCTCACTGATCACCCAAGTAACCGATGGAAAACCCGAAGCAAGCAAGCAAGCAAACAAAAATTGCGATGCCGAAAGACCCTAAGATCATTCGCAGAGACTCGGTTCTCGCTGTGCAATGAGAACCTTATTCCTAGAGCTTTACTGTTGTTTGAGTCAGCAAAGTCGCATCAAGGTAAGTATAAAGAAGAAAAGGAAACAGTGGATGGCGGAAGGGGGATTTTATAGGTGTTTCCTGCTGGCTAGCTCGGCGACACTGGGTGTCACTCGGTCGAAAACCCTAGCTAGCTACTTTCCGTCGGCGAAATAGACCCCACCAAAATCACCTATAAAACGCCCCTTTCTCCCACCCATCGTTTCCTTTTCTTCTTCATACTTACCTTGATGCGACTTTGCTGGCTCAAACAGCAGTAAAGCTTCAGAGACACCCCCTCATTGCACAGCGAGGGTCGAGTGTCTCTGCGAAAGGTCTTAGGGCCTTTCGGCGTCGCAATTTTTGATTTCTTACCCGCTTTGGTGAAGTTTTCGTTGATGCTGCTGGGCTCTCTCTCCTCGGGAGGCCGAGACGTCGAGGAAGACACGTTATGTATGAAAGAGGGCGTGAGGAGGAACAGCGGGCGTGACCCCTCCTCTTCTCGCCTCAGCTCCGCCTCCCTCTCTTCCCGCTCCCTGAGCTCCCACCCGGACACCTCACATGCTGCATCTTCCTCAGCGACCTCCATGGTCCAACTGCCCACATCGGTGGATGAGAGGAAATCTAGGATCTAGGAACTACCCCCTGGCTGTACCGCTCGTCGGCGTCTTTACTGTAAGCTACGGTACATATGGTGGCTACGTACAAGGTCGCACCGGGAGTCCTGATACGACAGCTGACGGGATGGATGCAAGCCATGAAGTTGGGGACCATGAATATTGCTTTACACTCTGCTTGCGCTGTCTTGGGTTTACTCACATTGTGTACAACACCCATACACCACGCCGCAATCCTTCATGCCGTTTTCTTCGACATCTCGGCCTCCTTCGAAAAGCCCAGCACCATCAACGAAAACGCCTTCATAAGAAAGGAAGAAATCAAAAATTGCGACGCCAAAAGGCCCGAAGACCTTTCACAGAGACACGCTGCCCTCGCTGTGCAATGAGAGTATTGCCTCCGGAGCTCGCTGATTGTGGGGCCAGCAAGTCGCATCAAGGTAAGTATGAAGAAGAAAAGAAAACTGGGTGGGGGGAAGGGGGTTTTTTTAGGTGTTGTCTGCCGGCTAGCTTGGCGGCACTGCCTGTCACTCGGTCAAAAACCCTAGCTACCTAGCTACTTTCCTTCGGCGAAATCGGCCCACCAAATCACCTACAAAACGCTCCTTTCCCCCACCCCACCTACCGTTTCCTTTTCTTCTTCATACTTACCTTGATGCGACTTTGCTGGCTCAAACCGCAGCAAAGCTCCAGAGACACCCCCTCATTGCACAGCGAGGGAAGCATGTCTTTGCGAAATGTCTTCGGATGTTTCGGCGTCGCAATTTTTGAT